ACAGGGGCGAGCGGTAGGGCGTCGCCGACGAGATGATCTCCCAGTTGATAGTGGCTTCTCTCCATCGGGACGGCGCCATCTTGCTTCGTGTTGAGATATCGACCGACGCGGGCGCCGGGCAGAAAGGGGAGAATATGCATGGCAGGCATCACGGACGGATGGTCTGCATACGCAGGCGCGATCCCAGGCCGTCCGGCTCATATGCACGTACATCTGTTGATCTCTTGTTAATTGGTTTAGCACCGGTCTACTTCTGCTGGTCTTGCTAGCTAGTGAAGCATGCATATATATATGCGTACGCATACATGGCCGAATTCACATCACACATCTACCCTCCCAAATGTCAGGCCACCTCTGTACGCACATGCATGCCTGAATCATTTAATTAGCTTGCTAATTAACCTGTTTCCTGCTGCAATCAACCATTAACACACAATATACAAGTGATTATATTTTATAAATATGTACAAAATACCATCAAACATATGCATTGTGATATTAAATTGTAGTGCTGTAAGAGCAAAAAGAAAGATGGAGATATTGCATCTCCTTTTTCGAAAACACACAACAAAGGAGAATGCTTCTAAATTGCCTTCTTTCCCGTCGTGATTGAGGAGCACACTCAACAATAAAATGTTGAAGAAGATGTCTCGCCACCACCAGTGCCTCAGCTTTAAAAAGTTAAGTTGTATGGTAATCTTTTTAAACTTTTATAACCATATAAGCTTCTTCGCTAGTTTTATATGTTTTAAGAAGCTATATATTAATATATCATGATACACTTTTGATGATTTGGTATATTATATTATTTACATTTGCATTGTATATATTACCGTCACTGCGTATGCCCGCCGTGACGCCATCTGCAAGAACGCCGGCATTGCATGTACTCAGGACCGTTGCATGTACACCCGTGCATGGATGGAATTGAATCTCCATCAGCTAGAAGTAGCACAAGGCGGTGGCGGCCAGCCGGACGCGGCAGAGAGATCCATTGCGTGCCCTCAACTTCATCAGCTCGGGCTAATCATGGTAATTAGTAAGCTTAGTTTGTAAACTAATTTACTAATTCATAGATACATCCCGGCACGTATCTATTAAGGTACGCGGTCTATATATGTTTTTATAGATTGATTATATTTTCTCGTTTTTATCATATTATCTAGATGCTTTGCATGCAGTAGATGTGATCCTGCTATTGATCTGGTGGTAAATTAATTTCCTGCTTTTATCTACATGCGTCTATTTTATTTGATGAAAATTAGAGAAAATCGTGTGAGAGAAATCACTAAAATTGATGGGAAACCCTGGACTAGAGACGTATCTAATTCGGTTGGGCCGAATCGGTCGTCTCGCCCACCCTCCCATCTCTCTATTTCTGATGACGCCACGCCAGGAACACAGCGACATATTCTCAGTTCATATAGTCGGACTTGGAGACATGTCCATCGTTCGCCGTCATCACTGTTGGGTGCGCCGTCTCAGAAAAAGCCCTGTTGGGTGAAGATTGACGATGACGGGAGGAGCAGTAGGGCCACGCTGGAGATCAAAACGCGGCGGCGAGCTCGGTATTCACGGCGACGAAGGTCTTCCCGGGGTCTTCGGTTTCGGCGAGATGGCTGCCGGGCTTTCTCTTGTCCTTGCAGAGCCGAGGGAGGTGGTGGCGCGGAGCGGCGACGACCGAGGCGGCAGCTAGGGGCGGCTGGAGCGGCTACCGGCGACGGAGAGAGGGCGCTCGCGGGGAAAAGGTTTCCGGCGACGGCGGAGAGAGGGAGAGGTGGCGCCCGAAAGAGGAGAGGGAGGGGGCTCTATATATAGCCATGGGAGGGAGAGATCGGGCCCAAGACGAACATGGCGACGCCGGGAAAAGCTAAGGTTTTCGCCGGGAAAAAAAAAAGGAATGACTTGATCCGCGAAATTGGAAAGGATTTCCATAGAAACTTTTGGGGATTTATTGGGGAAATTGTAGAGGGGATTGAGAGGATTCCATTCCCGCAACTAATTTGGGATGAGGAGCAACGAGGAGGCCGGATTTGGTGAGAGGTGGTGGCGGCAGTGCACGCGCACGGGCTCTGGACGGCTGGCTGGAGGTTGAAGATGCACTGTAGTGAAAGGGAGAAGAAACAGACTTCCGGCTGGGCTTCTATTCCTCGGCCCGATTGAAGGAGGACTCAGGCTAGACTTTGGAAAGAAAAGGCCGACCAGACAGAGGAAGGAAGGACAGCCAAGGACTGAAAGAGAACTTTTCCTATTTCGGCCCGAAAAGGAAAAGAGGATTTGATTTATTTTTCCAATTAAATTAATCACCGAAATGATATTTGAATTGTTAAAAATAATTCCAATGCTCTAATAATTTCAATAAAAATTCTAAAAATAATTAGACACTCAAAATATATAAAAATAATTAAAACCAGATCATTTAATGATTAATTTATTATTTAAATAATTACTTAAATGTTTCCTAATTTATTAAAATTAGTAATTGAGCTCTGAAAAATCCGAGAAAATTCCAGAGAGTATAATTGATCATGGAGAATTTAATAAAAATTAAATCCAACCATTCTTTACACTTAGAAAATTTTATTTCCCATATTTAACTTCACTTGTAAATTAATAAACATTTAATATAAAATTTATTAATAATTTATTAAATAATTTATAAATCCTGAAACGGAAATTCAGGTTGTGACAAATTCCCCACAATGTGTGTATGTATAGAGTGAGGAAAGGAATAAATTTACCGCAGGTCCCTCAACTTAACAGCGCGATTTTTTGAGATCCCTTAACCATAAAATCAGAAATGTATACCCCTAATCTCACTCAAACCGTTCAAAGAAGGTCCCATGCTAGTATATATGGGTGGTTTCGCTGATGTGGCATCCTAGTCTGCAAAATAAAAAATAAAAAGTTATGAGACCCACATGTAAGTGAGAAGGGAAAAAATGTGGGACCCACATATCTTCTTTCTCTCTTTTTTTTTCTCCTCTCTTCTCCTTTCTTTCCTCTCTCATCTTTTGGTTCTTCTGTTTGCCACAGAAGAGGGGGGAGCGGCAGCGAGCGAGGACGAGCGACCAGAGCAGGCGGGCGAGCGCGTGGCGACCGGCGGAGTGGAGTGGGGTGACAGCGGTAGCGGGCGAGCGCGCATCCAGAGCAGTGTGGCAGCAGCGAGCAGGAGCTGGCGAGTGAGCGCGGGGAGGGGGGTCGGCAGGCTCAGCGTCTCCCCCGGTGGTGAAACACCAAAAACTGTCGCGGCTGCCATTGATGCCATGTCGAGCTCCACCCCGTTGATCTCTTTCTAGGGTAAGTTTCTCGCATAACCTACCGCGTCACAACGTGTTCCCCGTGGTTAGTAGTCTTTACTCTCAACAATGGTGGTGATTCCCTTTCACTTCCATAGTGGTCTTCTTTGGTCGGCCCACTCATTTCACTCTCAAGCTCTCTGAGAAGATTCAAGATGTTTCATATGTGTCCGGATAGCCCAAAGTCTCGATAGTTAGCTCTAGGTCTTCCAGTCAATAGGCAGTTCAAAATGTTGACCTATTTGGGAATCTCCGGATCTATGATTATTTTCAACTCCCCAAAGCATTTCGTCTCTTGCTACGTCCTTCCTCGTCTCTGGGTACCTAGGTATCCACCGCAAGCCTTTCCTCTATAAGGGACAGGCTTACTGAAACTAGCACTAGCAACGCGTCTTGTCCTTAGTCAAATCCAATTCAATAAAGAACAAGAAAATGTAGGTGAACAAAGAAAGAAGGCAACTGCATTTGTCGGGAACACGAGCTTCTTTTCGTGTAGTGTGTTGACCTTTGACCATCGCGTTCCGCGCCAACCAGAGCACCTTCGTCGTCATCGATTTCTTTGTTGGATTCGCACAACCGCGATCTACTTACAGGACATTGTGCCCTCGCTGGATTCCATCGAGTTGCCGTCATGCCATACGCCTGCCTTACGAGCTGACCTCCGGCCTACCTTAGGCACAGCGGTGTCAGGCACCGGAGTCGCGCGCCAAGTTCCTCGGCAACTCTGCCGCTCCAGCGCCCACCCGCCAGCCGGCCACCTCACGCCGTCGTCGCTACTCGAGGCCCCGCCCCGCCGGCACCGGATGAAGATAAGAGAAAGGGGAGAGAGAGATAAGGGAGGCAGAGAGAGGAGGAAGAAGGAAAGGAGAGAGAGCATGACATGTGGGCCCCATAAATTATTGACCCTACATTTTTTTTCTCACTTACACGTGGGTCCTATATATTTATTTATTTTATTTTATTTGTTGACTAGGATGCCACGTTAACAAAATCGGGCGAAAATATAGTCAATACTACCATGTGACCTCCTTTGAACGGTTTAAGTAAGTTTAGGGGTACACATTTCTAGTTTTGTGGTTAAGAGACAAAAAATTATCGTGTTAAGCTAACGAACCTCGGTGAACTTATTTCGTGAGGAAATATGGTGAAACTCATCTAAAAAAAAGACTAACCGTTGTATAACGTGAACATTTTTCTTAAAAAAAGTGGAACACGCCATAATATTAGTTTATTTTATTATTGCCGGCAATAAGCCTATGCTCAATAGTAGTAGTTGTTTACTTGTTTACCATTTGCATGATGATAAGAACGTATTTAACGTTAATTACCTGCTTCACGATGTCCTTGCCCGCCCCCCACCCCTCCTATAGATAAACACATCTTAATTATACCAATCTAAACATGCCGATATCTTAGGACGAATGGAGAAATATACTACTATCATTTTTTTTCCAGGTTTGAAAAGAAAACCTAAAAATAAAAAGAGGTTTAAAAAGAAAACAAAAAAAAACAAAATGCCACACGGCCACCGGCTGCAGCAGGTGACCTCGACCGCCGACCGGCCGCACCCCGTCCACCCATCCGCTGGGCCCCACCCCACCCCACCCATCCGCATCCACATCTCGCCGCGACCTTCTCCCCTCCCCTCCCCTCCTCATCCTCTCCTCGCGATAACCCTAGCTCTCCCCCCCTCTCCCGCTTCCGATTTCCGATCGCTATATAAAAGACCTAGGATTTCGAAATTTTTCCCTCCCCCTCCCCCTTCGCGCGCGCGCTCTCTTCCCGCCCTTTTTTTTTCCTTCTTCTTCACCGGTGGGATTGATTCGTGGGGTGCGGATCTGGTTTTTGGGGGTGTGTATGGCGGCGGCGGAGGCGGCGGCGGAGGCGGCGGCGGCGCTGGAGGGGAGCGAGCCCGTGGACCTGGTCAAGCACCCCTCCGGCATCATCCCCACGCTCCAGTAAGTCCCCCCCGCCCCCGCCCGGATCTGTATGTGCGGGTTCATCGAGCTGGTTGAGTTTGAGGTGGAGCGGTTAACTCGTCGCGCGCTGTTGATTTGGTTTTGTTTTGGGGGCCGGGGATATTATTTGTTGTTGCAAATGATGTGATTGGTGGTAGGTTTAGCTTGGGGGGTTACTACATGTTTGAGGTTCTGATTTGCTTGATTGATGAAAAAGGGGGGCGATCTGAGATCCGCGAGTCCGGTACGAGAAGAAATAGAGGCAGCCGATGTGCTTGTGCTGTGACGGATCCATTGTCCGGTCTTCATAACAACTCTTTTTAGCTGGACAGATGTTTGTTTTCTCATGAATGAATTCATATGGTTGGAGTCTTGGAGAATCAGCTTGTCAGCTGTTCTTTTTTTTAAAAAAAAATTAAGGTTTATAAATAAATAAATAATCAATCAATCAATCATGCATCTAAATTGTAGGATTTAATTCTTTCCCCTCATCACGTATTTCAACCTTAGAGGGAGGTATTGTGTCTGTGGAGAGTTTATGGTGCTCATGTGATACATACAGTTGACAATGGGTCAATGCATGTTTTTAGACAGCATCAAGCTCTGAACAAGTGAACCACATATTTAGGCTTGATCCATGTATAACCCCACTAAGTTTTATACTTGTTTGTACGGGCCAATATGCCCAAACCTGGCTGTTTATTAGCATGCTGTACTTGCTGGTGTGCATCGAAACGTTTTTGGGGTTTGCCTACATTGCTACCAGGCATGTATATTTTGCATGCTGGTGTGCATTGCAGAAAAAGTCGAGCATGCTTATATTGCTGCTTGTCATAGTGTACCTGCTTCCATGTGTTCTCACAAGTGCGCATGCCTGTTTTGCTGCCTTTCTGGGTTGTTTATGTTTCAGCGTTGGGATCATAGCTGGTAGACTGCATGTGTTCCACTCTGTTTTGGCTTATCATGCTTCCTTTGGATACTCTCACCAAGGAAATTGAAGTCCTCATTATGTGTTCTCATCTATTTTGATGGCAGAAACATCGTGTCGACGGTCAATTTGGATTGCAAATTAGACCTCAAAGCTATAGCTTTGCAAGCACGCAATGCAGAATATAATCCAAAGGTATTATGATGGCTTTGGTGTGTTCTTGTGTCTTTGATTTTGCTCGAAAGGATATCTTCTTTGCATGTGAAAATTTTACCTATTTTAATCCTGCTAGCATGTAATATGTAGACAAGTCCATACAATCCTATGGTCTGTTCCTAGGATGATACTTCCTTTGTGTATAACGCAAGTGTGAGTGCAATTTTAGAGGTCGGTATGGATAAATGCATAGCTGGCAGTCCAGTTTTATATTGTAAATCTCAGTTAAGAGAGTGAATACATTCATCACGCTCAGCTTGTCCCATGGATAAGCAAATTGCTTTACAATTAAGATTCTAAAATTGCTCTATTTAGTGCTTATGCACTTTCTAATCTGTGCTGCACGTATCAGATACAGCATGATGTATTGGGGGATTTTGTAATTATATGTAATATCATAATCTAAATCTAGGCTATTATGTTTATTTTAATAATGGATACATTTTGAAAGAAACAGAGATAACTGCACACTGAGGTTATAGCATCTCTATCTACTCCATCCGTTCCAAAATATAAGCACTGTAATATATGTTTTAGTTTGCTAACTCCTCTTTTCACAAACAGCGTTTTGCTGCAGTTATCATGAGAATAAGAGAACCGAAAACTACAGCTCTGATATTTGCATCGGGTAAAATGGTATGGTTCAACCTCTTTGTATAGCTAAGACTGCAAATATTCTGTTTGTTCATCTTCTTATTGACTTGTGAATTGCTTTATCACCTGTCTTTGTTGCTCTTGTAGCTATTATAACGCATATTGATTGATGAACTCTTTTTGCTGATGTGTAACTGCTTTCTATTAGCCTACTATCTTTTTAGTTTTTCTTTGTTTTTTTAACAGCTATCACATCCATACCTGATCCATGCAGCCTGTAGTTCAATGCTGAATCTGTAAATTTAAGTTTGCTCTGATTTTCTGACATGTTTGCTGTTGCATTGCTGTTACATAATAACAGATAAGTAGTGCTCTTTCTGTAAATGTATAGTTTGTCCTTGTTAACTTTTTTATTGTCTTAAAGCATAATCAGAATTGACAATAAATTGAACCTGTCATATTTATTTGTTGATGGATAATCAGCAATGACACATCACATGGACTTCATGTCGCGTCAATATCTTAATTTTAAAAGGCTTGTTTATGAAAATTCACTTGATTTTCCTTTTGGATCAATGTCTTGATCCGAATAAGCTTGTTGAAGGATAATTGGTGGTCAGCATTTTTGGGATAAAATCTTCATTAAAAGTTGCTTTGCTGGTTCTCATCAGGAGGGATAATATCTGTGTTACAGACTTAAAGTAATACATTTTTCTGATAATAAATTCACATTTTAAGCATGAGAACGAAGGAGTTCACAGCCTAGGCTTACTAGTACGCTGTATGGGGCCTGACTATTAGGCAGTGGACTTAAGAAGGGGTTGTCTTGGGTTTGATGCACCGATTTGCTGCGTCTTTGCTTCTTTTTTATAAAAATCAAATTTGCTTGTTAACCAAAATTTCTCTGTGGGCACCATGACCTGCTAGCATTTGTGGTGGAATTAAAAGCATGTTTATAAATCTTTTGTTGTCCTTTACCAGGTATGTACTGGGGCAAAGAGCGAACAACAATCAAAGCTTGCAGCAAGAAAGGTATGGGGAGTATTTATTTTATTTCATTTTATTTTGCTACGTGAAGTCTAACACTTTTTTATTGCCAGTATGCTCGTATTATCCAAAAGCTTGGCTTTGCTGCTAAGTTTAAGGTAACTATTTCAGGCTTGATTAATTTTCATCTGTGCAAATGCCTACCATTTTCATTCTGTAAGATTGTACCTAAATGTTTAACTCATTTGCACTATACCAGGACTTCAAGATTCAGAACATTGTTGGTTCTTGTGATGTTAAATTTCCAATCAGGCTGGAGGGACTTGCATATTCTCATGGTGCTTTCTCAAGTGTAAGTTGAATCCTTGCATGTTTTTTTAGGATATTTCTTTCACATATGTTATGCTATTCTCATGTCTTGTGCCTTTTGTCTTCCAGTATGAGCCTGAACTCTTTCCTGGTCTGATATATCGGATGAAGCAACCGAAGATTGTTCTTCTGATTTTTGTTTCAGGCAAGATTGTTTTGACCGGAGCAAAGGTAAGCAGCCTTTCCTTTTGTATACCCTTGATTGTCTATTCCTTTTTGTATGTCTGAATGTACTTGTCTTTATAGGTGAGGGATGAGACGTATACCGCCTTTGAGAACATATACCCTGTGCTAACAGAGTTCAGAAAAGTCCAGCAATGGTACGTCTTTATTTTGTTGTTTAGGTATGCAGTGTGTGGTAGAAACATCGGAAGTTCGAAGTAAGAATTATACAGTGGATAATTGCACTTGTGTCTTTTGTTATACGTGGGAGTGAACTTTGAGCACACTCCTTACTAAATTGCAATATGTTGAATTTTTTAATATTACAAGCACCTATAAATCTGAACTTTCCAATTTGAATCCAGATGGTCAGCAGAAACTGAAGGAATAAATCATCTCAAGAAAGATTTTAATTTCCACACTACCTTGATCTTAGATAGGATTTGGATACTTGTTTCAGATATGATTCATCACTACCATGTGATGGACTGTTGGCTGCCCTTGCCTACTTACTGTGCTTGACTGCAGTTTACTTCCAATTTAGGAGAACACAATTTTAAATAATAATAATAATGATGGCTCCTTGCACCTTCAAATTTGCAGATAACCTATGGAGGTCACAACTACAACGCTTCCTTGAGGATTTTGCTGCCTTGTAACTGCTAATTTTAATCTGTACATATATGTAGTCTGGAGGGGCGTACAGCATCTTGTAATTTATGTGAGCCCCTGGATGAATGAGCACTGTAGACTTGTAGCTGGGTGAGTATGTTGTTAGTAGTCTCTTGTGGCATGGAGTTCAGTCCAACCGATCTGATGGAGTTTTCGTACGTTTGTAGCCCTTGCCGATCTTTTTCCCTTTTCTTCCCAATAGACATGTTGCTAAACTTTTACTAACTTGTTAACAGACAGACAGAATGATAACATGGACTGTGGATGCTTAGCGTTTGTGGCCGAATAACATGGACTGTTGGGTACTGGAGCTCTTTGACTGTGATTGTGATTGTGATTGCTCTTGGAAACAAAGATTACTTACAATCCCATCCTCTTTTTTATCATAAAATCGCCATGGATGGAGTTACAAGCAATTTTGTTTGATCCATTTTGCTTTAAAAGAATTATTAGTACGCTTGATTATGCAATACTATAGCGTGCTTCAGCTGTAAACAACCAAAGGAATCACCAATCCAATCGAGGAAAAGAAAAACAGATATGAAAGAATCACCAATCGAATCAAGCAAAAGGAAAAAAAAAAACGGAAGCGAAGAAATGAAGAAGCGAGCATCGATTCTCCCATCGGGCACACGCACGGACGTCTCGCTGATGTTGATGCTAAATCCCAAACGTCACACATTTTAATGTATCTTGTGCGTTTTTCCAACTAACAACGTGACAAACGTTAGGTGTACATTATTGCAAAAGGGTGGATATGACGTGGGATTATCATTGACCAATTTTTACTCGAATCTTTTAGACTCGTTTGGTTCTCTATGACTCTATCCTACCAGTAGTGCAAAATTAGCTAGCTCTTGTTTGGTTTGTATCAATATAAAACCAAAAATTAATAGCTAAGCCCCTTGTTATGCGCTCCATTACAAAATAAATTAACTTATGATTAAAGTTTAGATATTACCTACTGCTCACTTTGCTGGCACAACCCACAATGTCATTCCACCTCCTAATGGAATATAGATACACGAATAGATATATGGGACATGCTATCAACATATACCTCGCTCAAGCAAATCAAATCGGTAATGTGGTGCACAACTACGACGGTCCATGAATGATGGACGATATTGGCCACTAGCGAGGTACTACCAAAACAAGGTATCCGCACCCCTCATCGTACTTACGGCGTAGGAATTTTGGAAGGAGAGAAACCAAATAGTGTTCCAACACAACGAACTTTCGACGGTAGCCCTAGTGGCGAAAATCGAGGAGGTCAAAAAACATGAGCCCTAGCAGGAACGAAACGGCTATCCGAACTCATCCCTTAGCTTAATTTTTCTCTACACTTCTTTTCTTTTCGTATTTGCACAACTTTTACTCCTACTAAATTCTATGAAATTGACATACTATAAATATCGATTCGTTAAAAAAAAAGAGTAAAGTGCATTGGCGGTCCTTAAAGTTGTAAGGTTGTGTCATGTAGGTCCTTAAACTCTCAAAATGCATATCTAGGTCCCAGAACTTGTCAAAGTGTATCATCTAGGTCCTAAATTGACACATCCCCTCTAGGATGTTACGTTGTGCTGATGTGGCAATGCCACATGGACGTGACGTGTCCTTCTCTCTTTTTTTCTTTTTCGTTTTCTTCTCATTCTTCTTTTTTTTCCTTTTTTTCTTGCACGGATCACAGAGAAAGGAGAAGAAAGGGGAAAAAGATAAGAAAAAAAAGAAAAAGGAAAAAAATTAAATGGGTCCCATTTGTCAGTCAAAATAATGCCATGTCATGTCCGTGTGGCATGCCACATACACGCCACGTAGGATCCTGAAGGGGTTGTGGTGATTTGGGATCTAGATGACACACTATGACAAGTTCGGAGACTTGGATTTGCATTTTAAGAGTTTAGGGACCTAGATGACATACCGCTACAAGTTTAAGGACCGCCCGTACACTTTACTCTTAAAAAAAATTGCTTATAGTCAGACATTGTTTATTTTATTTGGGAAGGAGTACAATTCCTGCAACCAACCAGCGACAGAGCCGCGCCATGTGCTGCCTTTTGTCAACCATAAAAACTTTAATTTATCAACCATAAAAGAAACAATTAGAAGGCCTATTGGCAAAAATTAATTTAAAGCATCCGACACTGCCACGTGGGCCCACCGACCCGACGCGATTACCCCGCGCGATTCCTCCCATTCCCGCGGGACCAGAAACCCCGTGGGCCCCACCTGTCATTCACTCACCCACCCACCCCCCACAATATCTTCCCCTCCTCCTCACCCACGCCCACGCGACCTCGTCGAACACCTTGTCGCCGTCGCCGTCGCCGTCGCCTCACCGGCGCCCCACCAACCCCCAACCCCCCGCGCGGGCGGCGGCGGCGCCTATGACCGGAGCCTGCGAGGCGGCGCCGGCGCGGCGGCGGGGGCTGACGGTGCTCCCCCTCGTCGCGCTCATCTTCTACGACGTGTCGGGGGGCCCCTTCGGCATCGAGGACTCGGTCCGCGCCGGCGGCGGCGCGCTCCTCCCGATCCTGGGGTTCCTCGTCCTCCCCGTGCTCTGGTCCCTCCCCGAGGCGCTCGTCACCGCCGAGCTCGCCTCCGCGTTCCCCACCAACGCCGGCTACGTCGCCTGGGTCTCCGCCGCGTTCGGCCCCGCCGCGGCGTTCCTCGTCGGGTTCTCCAAGTGGGCGTCGGGGACGCTCGACAACGCGCTCTACCCGGTGCTCTTCCTCGACTACCTCCGCTCCGGCGGGGGGCTCGTGCTCTCCCCGCCGGCCCGCTCCCTCGCCGTGCTCGCGCTCACCGCCGCGCTCACCTACCTCAACTTCCGGGGGCTCCACCTCGTCGGCCTCTCCGCGCTGGCGCTCACCGCGTTCTCGCTCTCCCCGTTCGTCGCGCTCGCCGTGCTCGCCGCCCCCAAGATCCGCCCGTCGCGGTGGCTCGCCGTGAACGTGGCCGCCGTTGAGCCGCGCGCCTACTTCAACTCCATGTTCTGGAACCTCAACTACTGGGACAAGGCGAGCACGCTTGCCGGCGAGGTGGAGGAGCCGAGGAAGACGTTCCCGAAGGCGGTGTTCGGCGCGGTGGGGCTCGTCGTGGGCGCGTACCTCATCCCGCTCCTCGCCGGGACGGGCGCGCTGCCGTCGGAGACGGCGGGGGAGTGGACGGACGGGTTCTTCTCCGTGGTCGGCGACCGGATCGGCGGGCCGTGGCTGCGCGTGTGGATCCAGGCCGCCGCGGCCATGTCCAACATGGGGCTCTTCGAGGCCGAGATGAGCGGCGACTCGTTCCAGCTCCTCGGCATGGCGGAGATGGGCATGATCCCGGCGATCTTCGCGCGCAGGTCGCGCCACGGCACGCCGACGTACAGCATCCTCTGCTCGGCCACCGGCGTCGTCATCCTCTCCTTCATGAGCTTCCAGGAGATCGTCGAGTTCCTCAACTTCCTCTACGGCCTCGGGATGCTCGCCGTGTTCGCCGCCTTCGTCAAGCTCCGCGTCAAGGACCCCGACCTCCCCCGCCCGTACCGGATCCCCGTCGGCGCCGCGGGCGCCGCCGCCATGTGCGTCCCGCCCGTCGTCCTCATCACCACCGTCATGTGCCTCGCCTCCGCCAGGACGCTCGTCGTCAGCGCCGCCGTGGCCGTCGCCGGCGTCGCCATGTACTACGGCGTCGAGCACATGAAGGCCACCGGCTGCGTCGAGTTCTTGACGCCGGTGCCGCCTGACAGCCTCCGTGGATCATCATCATCATCATCCTCATCGGCAGCGTCCGACAACGGCGGCGACGACGACGTCGAGGACGTCTGCGCCCTCCTCCTCGCCGCCGGCGAGCACGCCGGAGAAGGCGTCAGTGTCAGCAAGGAGAATTATTAGTGTACAGTGATTGGAATTTATTACAGTGGCTTCTCTTCAGTTTGAGTAAATATCTACAGAAAATGCAGAAGAATACAGTTTAGTTTTCTGAACTCCTGATGAGCTTTTGTCAGGAAAAAAAACTGTTGTCTTATGTGATCTGAATCCTGAAAACATGGGAGCAAATCTTGCACATGTCAAAGATTAATTTGCCCCCAAAGTGATAAATACAGTTTAGTTTATTAAGTACAGAGATATTCCTGTTTGTGTGATGCAGAATTGCAGAGTAGCAGATCAATCAGAAATGAATTGAGAGACATGGGTTTTGTTGCAGAATTTTCAGTGTCAGCAAGGAGAATTAGTGTACAGTGATTCACATCTGGAAATATCAACAGAAATGCAGAAGAGTACAGTGAGTTTTCTGAACTCCTGATGATCATGTGTTCTTGTCAGGAGATTGTTGTGTTCTGAAACATTGGGAACACATTTTGCAAATATGTCAAAGTGAAAAATACAGGTTAGTTAATTAAGTACAGAGATATTCCTCTGTGTCATGCAAACTGGCAGATCAATCAGAAATTAGTTGAGGAGAAATTGTGGCAATTTAGCGAAGAACATCAACCAATTCTGTTGCAGAGTTACATCACAAATTCATCTTTCAGTAAAGTGTAACAGCTTCAGCTTTCAGAGCTGAGAAGCTGATTCTTTTTACAATTGCAATTAATCTCATCACATTCAAATCAAGAAGCTTGGTCTTTCAGCTTGAAAAATAGTTTCTTCCTTTTTCATGTTCATCTGCAGCAAGTAGCTAGAAAGCCCAATGACACCATCAATCTTGCAGTGCAACTCAAATTCATCTTCAAAGCGCAAAACGGAGCTAATGTTACATTTATCTTGCAGTGCAATTCCTGCTCTTTCGATCCAGTTCATCAAAAAAAAAACTGATAGTTTTTTTTATAGAATTACATAGTACAACGCAGACACTTTTTGATCCAACACATTTCTGAAAACCGACTCAAGATAGCAGCAAGCGGTTAATCACTTCATCAGTAGCAAGCTCACGCCGCAAAATAACAGAGAAGTTCATGATGTGCATCACCCAGCTGGCCGGCCGCCGCCGTCGATCGCCGGTGGCGACGGTGAGGCGGCGGCGGGAGGTTCGCAAAAATTTCCAAAAAGAGCCCTCATTTTCAAGCCTATTTCGAGCGCCCCTCGGGGGTCGGGGGGAAAAAACTGGAACCCCCTGAGGTATTTCGTGCCGTTGGATCACACAAATACACGGTCCTAGATAGCGTTGGTGGAGAGAAGTGGGGTCCACTTGTTTATATCACACTCTCACCCTTCCCATTCCATCCCCCACCACGACCGATTGAGATCCTCTGCAGTCAAATGTACGATACCTTTATCGTTGACATGTGGACTCAGAAATTATCGGGCGCACATGTCAGACTTTGACTACAGAGGATCTTGATCATACCATGAAGAGAGCAAACAATTGGCGAGGCAAAGGCCCCTCTTTTTTTTGTCTTTTTTACCATGGGCATTCTTTTCAGCAGTTTGAAACACAACTTCTCGTTTATTTGTTAGCACATTTCTAAAACTACGTTAATAATGTGTTTATGAAAAAAATATTTTTAATAAATAAATAAATAAATCTTTTTTTAATTTATAATATTTAATATGTTATTAGTTATGCGTTAATGATCCATCCTTTTTCGAGTTAGCTGTAGCCAAACTGCTGATTCCTCTAATCAATGTAGCCCCAAGGCCCCATCAAACTCCCAGTGCAGTTAATTATGCAAAATGCACAATTATTTGCATCTGTTGTTTACAGGTTTTAGTCAATATGCTGTCAGTTTCTGAACTTGTCATGTGTTCTAATCAGTACTAGTAGATTATTGTTATATCTGAAGTTCTGAACCCTGAAACATGGGAGCAAATCTTGTCTTTTGAAATCTTAATTTGACCAAAGTGAAACCTAGTTAGTAAACTACAGAAATAATGCAAGATTCCTCCTGTGATGCAGACTATCAGAGCAATAAGAAATGAAGTAGTAACAAGTACTCTACTAGATGTTATGGCCGTTTCATCAAAGAGCATCAATTTTGTTGTAGATTTTGCGGACTACTTCATCTTTCAGTAAAGTACACCCTACACTAAAAATCCGATTGCAGCCAAATTTACACTGCACGCTTGCTGACCCATACATTGCTGTCAAAATTTAAATTTTAAAACTTAATTTTAGACGTTTTTATTGTAGTTTATTTTGCAGCGTTAGTTTTTAAATCACTAACATAGATACATAATGTAGAAGTTTTATCCGTAAATTATTGTTCTCACCTTCTTCAGTAGCTGTTTCTTGATTCTTCTTTAATTCATGCATCAGAGGTGAACATTAGCTACTTAAAAAAGGATTTTTCTGAGGTTTCAGAGCTTAATGATGCCAAATACATCAGGTGATTAGACAAGAAAGTTAATTGTCTACTCAATCAGAAAGATGTGATATTCAGAAAAGTGTCATCTGCGACTTATTGGTGCATCTGAAAACGATGTTGCCGAATTGCTTTCGGATTTGGGAAGTAAACGCCGGACGTGGGTAAGATGGAGCCTCCAACTTGCTCTCTATTTCTGTTACTGTAAAGAGATCGTGTACTTAGTTTAATTAAGAAATAAATAAATTGCTTGAAGTGATTAAACTAAAAAAGGGTCATTTTACAGTACCTTTACGAGCGATGGCAGTAGGGTAGTATAAATCAAAACTGACCGTTGATTTATACGATAATTTTTACTTTATCCTGTAAATTGTAAGGGTATTTCTGACCATTTATCTATTAGAGAAAGTTATATCGCCGGTGTAGCCGCCGAGAAACCCGGAAGGGTCAACCTCCCATTTGTGCGGCCCGTTGGACGGCGTCGGCATCGCCGAGGATGCTGGCCACATTTCTTGTGTGTGCTCTGCCGGCGAATTACTGCCGCATCGAAGACTGGTCCAGCTGCCGTCTGATAATTTTTGGCCATCGCGGAGACGAATTAACTGGTACTCCATAATAGAACTCCATCACTCATGGTGGCCGGAAGAGCGACGGCCACCATACGGCGACATAGATGCCGATCTCATCACATCCTGCCTTCGCCGCCGCCTTCTCACCGCACATTTCGCGCCCATTCCATCTAATCACCGATAAAGCGTAATATTACTGTGTTTTTTTCTTTACGGTTTTGCCCTCCACGTGGTTTCTACTGCACATACTACTACTGACAGTAGAAGAAGATCAGGTCCATTAGATCGATAAGAGTGGACGGCCAGTATTATTCTAAGGGTACCTTAAAAATATCCCTAAAAAAAGATGCAACATATGAACGAAAAAAAGGGTTGGGCATATTAGCTTATTTGGTCACTTGATTTGCACAATATTGCAGTTTGATACTATTTTTGTTTTCAACTTAATCACTCCCCTAACAATTGAAAATGATGCTACCTCAACTTTTACGAAGGGAGAGTCTTTGTTTCCAACATATAAATAATTCCACCAAAATTTGATTTTTGGGTAGCGGGGATGTACATCGACATCTCTTACTGAGTTGAACTCAGTTTATTTTTTATTAATTTTTGATAAATTTATTATCGTTGTATGAATTTTGTTGTGAGAATTTCTAGATAGACAATATCTTCTGTTGGGGGTAGTGCATTCAAGACGGTGATTGGATTGGAGAAAAGAGGCGGACAACCCAACGTCATCCTATATGCACCAAGAGCTGAAGCGTGACCATATACGACAAAGTTTGCACTCATATAAGGCTGCGTTCTTTCAGGGGAGATAGGAGAGATTGTCCCTCGTTTTTCGCGCGTACGTTTTTCAAACTATTAAATGGTGTGTTTTTCGTAAAAAATTTCTATAGGAAAGTTATTTTAAAAAAAATCATATTAATCCATTTTTAAAGTTTAAAATAGTTAATACTCAATTAATCATGCACTAATGGCTCACCTCGTTTTACGTATCTTTCTAATCTTATCTATTTTCTTCTTCTCAAACACAGCCTAAGTATATATAGCACTTTTTTTTTTCCTTATATAGCATTTAAACAAGGAAACCCTAAACTTACCTTAAGCTGCACGTTAGTTTTGCGCGGGAAGCTGCATATTAATTTATTTTAGCGTAGGAAGCGACACGTAGACCTAATTTTACGTGGGAAGGGTACACCAACTTTTTATTTTTGCACGGGAAACTACATGTTAATTCATTTTAGCATGGGAAGTGACACGTAGACCTAATTTTACGTGGGAATGGTACACATCAACTTTTTATTTTTGCGCGGGAAACTGCATGTTAATTCATTTTAGCGTGGAAAGCCACAAGTTAATACAATAGAATTTCCATGTGAAAACTAATGACTATAATTTAGCTAGTGTTCTATTCCGACACAAACAAATGGGAAATATCCCTATGTTTTAGAATCACATTATGAAATCTCATTTTACAGTTCAATCATCTCACAATGGCTATTAAAAAAATAGACTTTCTCCCTACCAATTACTTTGTCCACTCAATCTCTCTATCTCTCACTATCTCTCTCCTCATCTCTTTAGGAGTAAAGAACCAATCTGTTAGGTAGTGTTTAGTTGAAGGGATGGGATGGGATGAGATGAGACGAACCCACTTTTAGGGGTGTTTGGTTGAGGGGTGAGTGGGATGGGTTGGTCCCTGGAGAGGAATTCTTAGATCCGGGACCAACCGATCCGGAAAAATGTGGCTGACGAACTCGTCCCACCTGGGACGAGCGAACGGCGTGACGACGCCTTCCTACCGCGCTCGCACTGCTCGCCCTCGGGAGCAGCAGCATACGGCTCGTGCGATGGCGACAGCTGCAGGCTCGGCGACGGCGACCATGCAGGGCTCGGCGACGACGACCACGGCGGCGGGGGGCTCAGCGACGGCGACGGCGGATCCAGTGGTGGGGAGGGCGGCGGCGGTGGATCCGGCGATGGGGAGGACTGCGGCGGCGGATTCGGCGACGGGGAGGAGCGGCGGCGGCATGCGAGGAGGAGGTCGAGGGGCGGCAGCAAATCCGGCGATGGGGACTGTGGCGGTTTGCGAGGAGGAGCTCGCGGGGGAGGAGCGGCGGTGGCGTGCGAGGAGGAGGTCTAGGGGCGGCGGCGGATCTGGCGATGGTGCGGCGGCGGATTCGGCGATGGGGAGGAGCTGCGGCGGCTTGCAACGAGGAGCTCGCAGGGGAGGAGCGGCGGCGGCGTGCGAGGAGGAAGTCGAGGGACGGCGGCGGATCCGGCGATGGGAAGGAGCGGCGGCGGCTTTTCCTCTTGCTCTTGCTCGCCGCCGGCTCATCCTCTTGCTCTTCCTCCAGCGATGGGGAGGAATGTGGCGGCAGATCTGGCGATCGGTTGACGGTGATTGCAAACGGCGTCCATCCCTTCCCTCTCTCATCCCTTCAACCAAACAAAAAATTAGGATCGTCCCATCTTACAAACCAAACATGTGAGTGGAATCATCCCAACCCAAAAATCAGGGATGGTTCCATCCCATCCCACTTAGTCCCGAAACCAAACACTACCTTAGTTCTTCTACATTTTACTATCTCCAACTCAAATAAAAGGAGAAATCACACTTATAGAGAGAGAGATAGAGAGTAAAGAACCAAATCTACCATATCTTGTTCATTTAACCATCTTTTACACCCAAACAAAACGGAGAGACCACACTTAACACTTGCATTAGACCACAAGTACTCATCATTAGCCTTAATAAGTCAGTTTTGCATTTCGGCACGTGCGTGTCAGGGGCAGAGGCAAACCTGCCTATCTCCTCTCCTGCCTGTCTCACACACACCTGACGCGTGTGCGTGGGGCCCACCTGTCAGAGAGACATTAGCGCACGAGCCACCGTGACAAACACTGCCTTGTGAGGTCGAGTTCGTCCTCGCGGCCCAGAAAAAAAAAAGAAAAAAAAACCAAAATTTGGGGGAAATATAAACTGCGATTGCGGCGGCCGCAATCCGAAAAAAAAAAGATCCATTTTTTTCTTTTCTTTTCACCCTAATTCTGAGTTCTTGACATCCGGAATCATCACGCTCTTCCCAATCGAGGTTAGTCTCCATCTTGCTGTTCTTCTTCCCCCAAATCCATTCCGTGTTTCGTAATCTAGTTCTATACCCCGTGAAATTCGGGGGCTTTTTTTTTCTGGGTGGTGTTCATCCCGGATTTGGCTGGGGTTTGTCTAAAATTCGAGCTTGGTTTGCTTCCGGTTTCCGATTAGGTTATTACTGTTTAGGTCTGCTTCAGAGATGGGGTTAGGGTTAGATTTGTTCCAACTATTCGGTGAGCTCCTGGATCAGCAGCTTGGGGGATGCGTGTGTTCTTGTGCTGGATTGTGGAGTTCTTGATCCCTGCTAAAGATTGATTGCTTGCTTTCTTTTCTTTTCTTTTTTTTGATCTGGTTTTCGCAGGTTGCCGCTTCGAATCTCGCCGCGCGCCGCGGCGGCTAGGGTTTTGGTCGCCGGTGAGCTGCTGCATTTGGTCTCCAAGATGCAGCCGCCGGTGGCGAAGAAGGTGGCTGCTCGCGTGGACACGATGGAGATCAAGTCGCAGATTGCGAAGAAGCTGGGCGCCGAGCGCTCCGAGCACTACTTCCATAGCCTGAAGAAGTTCCTGGGTGGGCAGCTTGGGAAGGAGGAGTTCGACAAGATCTGCGTGGCTACAATGGGGAGGGATAACATCAAGTATCACAATTTTCTCATCAGGTCGATCCTCAGCAATGCCTACTTGGCGACCGCGCCGCCCCCGCCTCCGCCGCCGAGCAGGCAGGCAACCACCGGGAACTCGCAGACGAGCACCGTGTCCGTGTCCAACGGGGCCGTGGCCAACCATGGCGTGATGGCGGGTGTGATGAGAGGGCCGGCGTTGGCTACCCGGGAGGCGAGGTTCGAGAGGCCGAGCCCGCTCGGGAAGTCGCCGCTTGGTCATCAGGGCACCGGGGAGTTTGTGTCGGCTGGGAGCAAGGCGCCGTTGGAGGTTGTGTCTGTGGAGGATGGCGAGGAGGTTAACCAGGCCGGGGGCAGTCCAGTGTATGCGCAGAGCAGAAGCCCGATTAGGGCTCCTTTGGGTGTTTCGTTTGGAGATCCGAAGGCTCAGAATTCTCGGCCTTCGATTCCTCATCCTTCGTTGATATGCTACAAAAATGGTGAATTGCCAGAAGCTCAGCGCTTGTTGAAGCTACTTGAGAATAAGCTGCAAGCTGAAGGTCTTAGCTTGACTCAGGAGTGTGCTGATGTGCTCAACTCTGGGCTGAATGCATACTTAAGTCGGCTGCTGAAGTCTTGTATGGGCGTGGCGAAATCAAGGGGAAAGAGAGTGATGATGAACTATCCAAATGTGACTACTGTTGCTGTTATAAATGGCGTGCAGTATCAACGCTCTACAGGTTCAGCTGACTATTCCTACCAAGCTTCATTGCTAGATCTTGAGACAGCTGTAGTGTGTAATCCCCAGTTACTGGGAGGTAACTCCTCTCGGGTACGTGACAAGATTTCTGCTCATCTGTTAAACGGATGAATGAGGGTGGCTAGTTATCTCGGATTCTTTTAGTGAATCTTATGTTGACCAGTGTAGGCAACCTGTCGCAGTGTTGCATTGCCATTCATTCTGCTGTAGAAAGCTACAGTTTAGTTAGGTTCAGGCGGAGGGAGAGTTAGTGTCATAGGGCTGGGTGGTACACCCATGGCTTTTGGTGGTCAGGATGATACATCTTAGGGTACATGATAGTGAACTTCCATTACTTGTGATTAATCACAACAATAATGAAAAATTCTGGCAATGCCTTTGATCCTGTCGTCGCTTACAGGTAAATGCTACAGTTTACCTTTACCTGTATGGAGAATTCGGTCTTGTTGCCTGGATTTTACTGGTCAATGTTACAGTTTACCTTTACCTGTATGGAGAATTTGGTTTTGTTGTCTGGATTTTACTGGTCAATGTTACAGTTTACCTTTACCTGTATGGAGAATTCGGTTGTGTTGCCTGGATTTGTTGTTGTTCCTCTACCGAAGGCATATTTCTTCTCAACTGTTTTACCATGTGTTGCCATAATCTTTGATTTGTCACTGCTCTGCCCGCAGAGCATCGTTCTTGTTCCCGGTTTATTGTGTTGATCCTTCAGAGTTTGGTTTGGTATCTGAACTTTTTACATGATCTATGTCACCCAGCAATGCAGCATATCTCCCAACAAGATTTGGTGTTCTGCATCTTCAGTGTCTGACATCTCTATGTTCCATGGGGATTCACATTTTTTATGCAGCTCCTTCTGTGTTCTTCTGAATATATATGTATTCTGGTGCTGTCTGATTTAATCTGGTACAACAGCACATATTACCTGATACAGTCAGTTATCCCTCTTATCAAGAATGGGGTAGATCATAAGAGTTCAAGCGCATCTTCAAGACTGGCCTTCTCTCCAGGTCAAAGAAGAATTGCTGAAATTTTTCGCTGGTAAGGTTGGTACAGACTGCCGAGATTCAGAAACCTCTGAAGAATTGGAGGATTATATTATATGATCTCATACTGTCATACATGTATCTTATCTGATATCTCTGAAGAACAGGGCTCACTTTCTGTCAATCACAAATTCACAATCCATGCTGGGTTGGTTGCATGCAAAATTGAAATGCAAAGTCAGAACCCTGAAAGATTGTGACATGGAATGAAACTCTTTGAGGGAAAATTTGGAAGAAACAACCTGATGTAAATCCTTCTTTTTTTTTCAGTCAACAATTCATCAGTTCTTCTCGATACGAATTTGACCTGAACTGTTCGTTTGTTTGCAGGCAATCATGTCCAAACGACATGTAGTACCAACAGGACTACAGGAGTATAGTATCAGTCTTTCTTTTTCAAACTTACACGCATTTCTTTCATCAACGATGAGCATGGCAGCTAACTTTTTTTTTTTTTTCAGTTAAAAGCGCTTTTATTCAGCTCCATGAAAAGACATGATAAATACTAGGCCCTGAGAAAAACGACGATGACAAAGCTGCGTAGTGTACTTCTTGTTGCAAAAATAACACTGAAACAAAGCACTTTATCACACGTACGTCCATGGGTCCTCCATCAGACACGCAAAGACCTGTCCATGCTGCTTCCATGCACATCCAAAAATTGAAGTTCAGCTAAGATTCAAAACCAAAATTTCCTGTATGGAAAAACTCGGAATCACAGGCAATCTTTTTTGCTTACTAGTTAGAAGAAGATTCAAATGCACCTATTTTTCTTGAGAAGAAAACTCAGATCATATGCATTTCTTTGTCAGAAAATACTCAGATTCAGAGGCTCTGATGAATCAGAACGACAAGAAAAAAAATTAAGATTCAATATCAATTTTTTTAATTAAAGAAAAACTCAGATTCAGAGGCAAAATTTTCTGAAAAGAAAACTCGGCTTCAGTTGCATTTTCTTCTGAAAAGAGCTCAGATTCAGAGGCTCTGATGAGTCAGAAACTCAGAAAAAATTCAGAGGCTCTATGCTTTTGTTTTTTCTTCAAACAAAACTCGGGTTCAGAAGACATTTCCCTTCTTTAAACAAAACCTCATACCCAGAGGCTCTGATAAATTCAGAACAGTAACAAAAATTCAGACAAGAACAAGAGGCCTGGATGATGAGGCGCATCCTTCGAAGCTACAGAAGCTTAGGGTTAGTGACTGTGTGTGCGTGTGTGAGGTCATCACCACGCCTCGCCTTTTGAGAAGAAGAGGAGGAGGAAGAAGAAAAGATTTCCACCATGCAATTGCAAAGTAGCAGCAGCCACTGTCTGTCCTGTGTCCACTGATCACTTCTCCTTTCGGTGCTCGTCTCGGCTCGCCGGCCGGCAACGGCCGGCGAGCGTGCATGGCGGGGCGCTGTCGGCTCCGGCTGGCTCCGGCCTCGAGGAAAGCCGAGCACAAAAAAGTTCAGGTCCTATCCTAGTCTCATTATCTAATCCTGTTCTTCAGTTTTGATTAGTTTTGATGTAGTATATGCATGAGCTTTTTCATGGTTTCAGTGTGATGTGTAATTAGTCATGTGCTCATGTGATGTATGGAGCTGATTAATTATGGTGTTAGTTTATGGTTTATGGATTAGTATGGTGTTTGATTATTCAGGATGTATATGCAGAGAAGGTCAACATGGCATAACAGGAAGATTTTAAGCACACATCATCTTGTTCAGTTAAATATTCAGTCTGATCTGCAGCTGATTTTATTATGGTATTAGTTTGTGGATTAGCATGATGTTAATTAGTCAGGTTGTATATGCAGAGAAGGTCAACAGGCATAACAAAAAGAAAATTCAGAACAAACTCTCACACACAGACACACACCATCTTGTTCAGTTTGATCTGCAGCTGATTAAATATGTCATTGAAATTAGCATGATGTTAATTGGTCAGGTTACATATATACATAGTCAAACAAGCATAACAAAACCATTTTATGCAGAACAAACTCATGCCCACACCATCTAATTCAGAGATGGGAAAAGGCTCACACAAGCACTCATCATCACCATCCACAAAAAATTACTTCACTTTGTAGTGGACTAGACTAGATCAGTGCATTGTTCATCATCTTCTTTTAGGTGTTGACAAATAGGTGAGGGCTCACACTGACCACCCTTATGTGATCATCATGATGATGGTGGTGGTGGCATCAGCAAAGCTCTCTTTTCTGAATTTTTCTTTCAGGTTAGTGGACATTCTTCTGTTCCTCCTCCAATTTCTTTTACATCCTACGATTAACTAGCTGTTAGAGCTGCACTGCACAGGGTTCCAGGTAGCCGAAATGATGAGCAAGGCTGCAACTTTGAGGATGCAGTGTGTGTGGGGAGACAGAATGGAGGCTGCGACCTGAATTTTTACAGACACCGATGTAATGTACTTTTCCTCCCCCCTCTGAAAAGTTCAGCACTGAATTTTAGCTAGCCCCGTGCGAGTTCATCTGCATGCTTTGCTTACTCCCCTGATTACTTTATCATTGCAATAGCTATCAGGTTAATTCTTGTGTTTGTTTATCTGCTCGGTGCTAGTAAGTAGCTTTTTTTATAAAAAAAAACTTCACTGATCAGTCGATGCTCCTGCATGCATGCTGCTGTTGGTTAAAATTTGAGAGCTACCCTGACAAATCATTCAGGCCAAAATGGCATCAACTTTAGAGTAACAGCATGAACAGGTTTTGTCAGGCAGCCATCAGACATCAGAGATGACAATTGCTGTCTGTTACTATCACTTATTAACAGCAAGCATCATCTAATCCTGGAAAATTTCTGACGAGAGCTTGAAATGGATAAAACCAGATTGGAAACTTGAAACTTTTCTGAACAAGAATCATCTAGTTATAACCATGAATCTAGAAACAGAATAGAACAGATCAACAGAACCCCCTTCTTTTTTCAGTACAGAGTATGCTTTTGAGATGCACAAGAACACTCTCTGCTACTCTGACTACTGATTATACTGCATTGTGTGTGTCACCACAGATCAATTTGCTTTTCCTGAAGAAAACAATCGATGAGCTGTCCTGAAAATCATGGAGTAATTGGAAGAAGAGAGGCTAAAACCTCCTGACAAAAGTGTCTTTTCTCACCATGGGTGAGAGCTTGCTCCCTCTCTCTTTAGCACTTTCTCCTCTATCTACAAAGCTTCTACTGTTCCAATTCCTCACCTTTTACTAATCTTTTATCCACAAAAGATGCACACTACATTACTATTACTAATTTACTACTACTGCTAGAGCTAAATTTTAGGTTTGCATTGAGCTAGTACTAATCAGTGAGTGTACTTGTTAATTCTAAAGGCACTAGTAACAATCATAACAATAGTGAGTAGAGTAGTAGTAATTGTTAATGGTAAAATAGTGATGATAATAATAAATTAATAATAATCATCCTTGCAAAAAGCCATTGCAGTAGGAAGAAGACTGAAAGAAAGAAAGAAAAGAAAGCCGAGAAAGCAGGAGTGCTTCTCTCTCTCTAGATGTGGGGCCCACCTCGCCGTACGGATGCGCCTCCCTGCGCCGGCAAAGCGTGCGCCATTGTCTTGTCCCTTGGACTATCATCCATCACCCTTTGCTTAGGCTTTCTTATTAGTGCACTAATCACTTAAAAAATGATCTCTTCTTCTTTTCAAGTCTCCATTATTGTAAGCAATTCGTCCCTGCACAATACAGCTCTCTTCCTCAGCTCTTGAAGCTGTGGACTTAGCTCCATCGTTTGCTTTTCAACTTTTTTTTTTCGCTGGGACGGCAAAGAATACCGACCTATGTATATTAAGGCTTTTCAGCTTATCAGCCGCAACTAAAATTTAAATTTGAAAACTTGATTTTAGGTTGATTTTGATGATTTTTTTCATCGTAGTTTATTTTTCAGAATTGATTTTTAAGTTTCAGCATTCATTTTTAAGTTGCGAAGAACGTATACATAAAGGTTTTATGAACAGTTTTTTTTTTATCACTAATAGGTATTACGTCTTATAGTCAGCTGTTTGCTGCAATGGCACACTAGTAGCATCAGTGTTGAGTAATTTGGTCAGTGAAGCAAAATTAATTAAGCACCGGTGATTAAACTATGCAGACCCCACATAGTTTGTGCTTGTGTCAGGATCAGAGTTCAGACATGCATGCTTAGCTGATGCTTCCTCTCAAAGGGATGTGTCTGCATCATCAGCCTTTGCTTCTCCTCTTTTCTCTGCTTGCTTGGTTTTCCTGCAATGCAAACATATACCACAGCAACTGCTGTTAACAACAAACAACAGTGCTCTGATTTGTCAGGATGGGCCAACAATGAGACAAGAACCTGCCCTTCTTATCTCCCTCCTCAAAGATATGTTGTGCTCTTGGATGCATCCATTTGGATAGATATTAGATCCCTGCATCCATATGCATATATGCAGGCATTGCAAAGGGAAATTAGCATATGTTGCAATGCTGTGGCAATAATTCATTGTACAGGAGGACACTCATCTCATCTCATCTCATCTCATCTCATCTCTCCCCTCATCATCATCAGGTACATTTCACACATGGAAATGCACCTTTGCTTGTTTTCAGTGACAACACTGACAGCTCCATCTTACTAGGTACTACTGCTCCAGTTAGTTGCAACCTGACTTGCGCATACATTTCAGAAGAAAAAAAAAAGAACTAAACTGATTCATTCAGTAAAGAATTGCACAACTGCACAAGGCATTGGTAGATGGTACTACTCCTACATGTGTGCAATGCATTTGCCTGCATTTGTGCAATGATCATGCATGCTAAGGGCCCCTTTGAAACGCAGGATAGAAAAAACACAGGAATAGGAAAAACGTAGGAATTGAAGTTGTATTTTTTTCCAATCCTACAGGAATTGAAAACACAGGAAATGGAGAGAAGAGCCCTTTGATTATACCACAGGATACACTCAACAAAGGAAAGTTTCACAAGAGGTCTAACCTCTTGCTTATTTTCCTATGGAATTGATCATAGGAATGCAATCCTATGAAAGTTTTCCTATCCTCTTCCTATGAATCAAAGGGCTCTATAGGAAAAAATCCTTAGGAAAATGAATCCTCCAAAATTCCTTTGCTAATCCTCCATTTCAAAGGGGCCCTAACTTGTTTAGTGTGTTAAGCATTGCATCCATCACACACAAAGTGCCACTGCTTCAACTTTGAAATGTACTTAAAAAAAAAACCTTTGAAATGTACGACTACTCCTCCTTGTGGGGGCCCACACAAGAGAGAATAGAGAAGAAGATTAAACTAGAGTCCTGCAGGGTTGTCTGCTCTGGGAGGGGCACCTCATGCAAACTGACTAGTGCCATTGCCCCAGGCCTCTGGGCCTCTTGCTTGGCATGCCAAAAAGGAGGAGGGTCCAAGGTAAAAATATACCCTCTACCTAGTGTCTAGTGACCATTGCCAGTGTTTATAAATCACCACCTCCCCTGTAACTCCCATTTCCAGCTTCACACATTCACCAGCCTCACTCTCACAACTCATACTCCTCCTTCTGAACCTATCTTGTTTGTCCTCTGGAAGTTGAGTAGAGGAAGAGAGGAACAGACAACAGAAACAAGCAAGCATCTTGGTGGTTGTTTTGGATACATATACAAGGTTAGTTAGTTGGTTAGTTACTTGTTCTTTGTGGTAGAATTAGCATCCTTGTCTGAAATGTTGTTTGTGTCACTCAGAGATTGTTCTGATGACATCATCATGTTTCTTGATCTGAGCTCCTGCTCTCAAAGTTCAGTTTTTTGTTCATCTTGCTACTAGCTCTTTTGATGTAATTTATCATTTCTGAAGTCTGAACCATTAGGATCAATGAAAATGAAGTTTTTTTTAAAGTACTTAATGGTATCTTTGCTTCACATTTCAGCAGGGTGCAAGTGCAAGAATTGGTGATCTGAATCCTGAATCAAAGTTGAGGGAATCACTAGGATCAATCAATCAATTCCAAGAGGCTTAGCTGAAGCAGATGATGAGGATGGACAAGCTTGTGAGGCAATGTGACATGGAGGTGATGAAGATGGCCATGCTCAAGCATGAGGAGACCTTCAGGCAGCAGGTAAATCTCACTGAAATTAATCCTATCAACTACTTACTACTAGTAGTTAATTACTGGCCATTGCAAATTTCTTGAATCCTACATATGAACTACTTCTAATTAAGTTTCAATTAATTATTAATCAGGTTCATGAGCTGCATCGCCTGTACCGAATTCAGAGGCAGCTGATGAGCGACCTGACCATGGCCGAGCTGAGCTCCGGCCACCGCCGCCGGCAGCCTCGCCGGAGCAGCAAGCAACCTCGCCGCGCGCTGAACCTGCAGCTCCCCGCCGACGAGTACATCGTCAGCGCCGACGCCGCCGACGACAACGACGACACGGCCGAGCTGGACCTCACTCTCGCCGTCGGCGGCGGCCGCAGCTCCCGCAAGTGCAACGCCGCCATTGCCGCCGCCGCCGCCGCCGCAGGTGGCTCCTCCCCCTTCGCCTCCGACTGCTCCGGCAGCGGCCTCTCGTCGTCGCCGTCGTCGGCCGAGTACTCCGACGGCGCCGCCATGTTCCTCCACGCGCCGCCGCCCATGCCGCCGCCGTGCCAGCGTGCAATGGCGTTCGACCTCGCCATGGGCGACGCCATGAAGCAGCAGCAGTCGCCATGGCTGGTTCAGTGCCAGTATCTCAGCCTCAGGATGACATGAACAGCAAGAGCAAGCTCAAGCTCAAGCTCAAGCTGTCCATGATCACACTGTGCTACTACTACTCTAGCTTAATTATCTTGTGTTTGTAGAAGAAGAAGAGAAGAAGAACAAGAAGAAGCTAGCCACTAGCTTAATCATTTCCTCTCCCACTGTTAATTAATCAATTATTTGTTCTAGCTAGGTGATCAGTGCAGTTTGGGCAGGGGGGATTAAGTCCTAATCCTGAATTCCTGATCCCAAAGTGTCCATTGATCATCATTTGATCGATCTTGGCTAATTAATGAGTGCATGCTGATTGATTTGTGTCTATTCCTACTAGATCATGGCATGTTCATGATTTGCAATGCAATATTGGAGCATTATTGATTGCACAGTTGCATGCATGCATGGATGAATGAATGAATGCAAAGGTAACCTGGAAAAAGGGAGTTGCAGTGAAAAGGTAAATAATCAGGCAGTGAAACTGAGGGAGTAGTAGAAAGAAAGCATAGGTAGCTACTACATGGAAATTGAAGTGAAAAGAGGTTGCATTCTTTGCAGTGCAAAAGGTTGCAGCTGATGGCCAGTAGGCATGCTGTCCCCAGAAGTTCAGATCAGTTCAGAATTTAAATATCAATGATTTTTTTTTTTAAAAAAAGAAGAATTAAGAGAAGTAGAACAAATGGCACCATTAGGAAAAAAGGATATTCCTTTTTTTTATCTATGATGATTGACTCTTGAAGGGAACATTCTGCATGCCAACAAGATAGAGTTTCAGGCAAGAAAAGGGGATCATTGCAACTAAAAAACAACACCAAAAAAAAAAAGTTTCAGAAGATGCAAATGGATAAAATGAAGCTGTTGTCACACGTTGTTGCTTTGGCTTCAGTAATTCAAGACCAAGATATCTTTGGAAGCTGTGGACAAGAGGATAAAATTAAAATAGTTGACCTGTACTGGATACATATCTGGATTCATTTGTCTTTCTTTATGGAAATAGATTCATCCATCTTTTGCAAAAGCAAGTCATCAGAGGCAAACAAAAGAATTCTTTAAAGGGAGAAATTGCAAGGTATGTTCAGAAATTGTGGAAGCATTTGCAAAGAAGTTTCAAAGGAGAGTAGTAAGGAGCAGGCAACCACTACCTGAAGAAATATCTCAAGTGATTAATACAGACAAGTGCAAGTGTGCAACTAGCAGGTGATCCATCGTTATCTTGAATCGAACACAAACCAAATTTAAACAAAGAAAAAATATATATAACCAACGATTCCTTGTACCGAAATCCTGAATCTGACAGAAGAAGACAATGTTGTGCAGTACGTATGTGAAAATCCCCGGCATGATTCCCGGCTGCATCCCAATAAGAAAACCGTGACAGCAGCAGCTAGCAGCTAGCTACCGATCGATCGATGGCGATCGATAGCTATAGATATCTCGATCTCTATGAAAAATAATGAAATGGATGGCCATGGAATGGTACAAAATATCGTACTTCAAGCATCAGTAGCTGCTACCCAGTACATGTACTGTCTTTCTCTCTCTCAGTCTGTTGTGTTCTGAGTTCGATGCATTAAAAAGAAAACAAAACTAAACAGTAGTGTTGGTGCTATTTTCTCCATCACTAGTATAATTTATAGCGGCTGGAAGAGCTATAAACTGTCTTGATTAATCCGATGTATGACATGGAGTACACAGTATGCTCATTGTCTGATCAACCAGAGCACAAGCAGGAACTGTGTTGGCACTGTTCTGTTCATGTGCAGATACCTCGTGGAAGAACATGCCACCTCAAAGAGGCAAAGACAATCCTTTGTGAATTTCATGGACTGTGTAATGTGTGATGTGATATTGGGTCATTTTTATAGTGGTGTCAAAATCTAGATAAATTTTGATATTATTACTTTTTCTTTTTAGTAAGATACAGCTCATATGAAATACTCTCTATGTTTGGTTCTCTACCAGTATGCTTGATATGGTGAAGAAAGTTACAGTGTGTTGCGAAATTGAGCACTGTGGCATTACAAATGACTTGGCTCCAATCCAAACCAGTCACACTAATACTAGTTTAGTTGCCAAATACTACTATTAATTGGTAAGACATATTTTGGTATAATCAAAGGCTCAATACACTTTGATACCAACCAGATGGAACAATATAAGAAGGCATATTTGTTTTTAGAGACAAAAATCAGGAAGATGTATTGCCAAAAAAAAGAGGAAAAGAAAATCTATAATTTCATTCTGCAGCATTCAGATTTACCCTAGGCCCAGCCCAACTACATGCTACGCGAGGAATTGTAGCCCATGGACCGCACTAATTGCCGGGCCTAGCCCATGACAGACACAAAAAGGAAAAGCCCAAGAGGTCGTGTTCGTAAGACGACGTGAGCACGACGTCACGTCTCACTCACCTTGACCTCCCAATTTTTTTTTACTTTCTACCTTCCACTAATTAAAACCTCCGTTGATTTGGGGTGCATCGTAACTGTGGTGTGAACGACACAAAAGAGAGTGGGAGAGGATAAAAAGTGAATATTCTCGTGGAAATTCTAGATCATGTTTTTACCCAACTTTTTTTCCCATTAATTTACTTTTCACAAAGGTCATAGCAAAAGATACCAGCATTACATATTACATTCGTCATAAACTATAATAGACTTTTTTTTAGAAACACAAAACAAACGCGGACATTTATAACGCGCATAGATCAGAGCATGTACAACGGTATTTAATAACAGACTATCTTCGTTGTCATGCAAACAAATTTGGTGTCGTGGAAGAAGAAGATGAAAGAAAAGGGAAACATGATGGATACTCATGATAACAACTCAAAGTAGATTCTTAGCATTTACTATTAAAGGAAATTTTGTTGCAAGGTGTGGACAAAAGAAAAAAATGGTAATAAAAAAAATATTTTGGTACATTAAGTTTGAGAGTTATTATTGCCTTTACTATTGTAGGAAGTAGTATGTTCTTCCTCTATATTAAAACATAGCAAAATTTGGTTAGATGAGACGTATCTAGGCATGTCCAGATTCGTATTACTAGAATATATATATATATACATCCCATTAAAATAAAAGTTGCTATATTTTGGGACGAAGGGAGTATTAACTAAGAGCTCACATCGGCTCCATCTTTATATATGTCTTGCAAATTTTCATATATACAGGCAAAGACAATGGTATCATCGTTATCACTGACACATCCACGAAGATAATGGTTATAAAGATAGAAGGTGAATATTTTCTAAACCATGGTCTTAAATAAAAAAGAAGTATGCGACCTTAGCATGCTTGCATATCATTATATCACGGTGGGATATGCAAATTCAACTACTCAATCTACCTTGAGTCTTTGACTAATAGACCTATTAAGTCGCTGGAGGTTTTTTTTTTATTAAAGATAAATGATACTCCCTCCATATATTTTTGATAGTCATATTTCTAAATCTAAAAATTTATTTTTAATAGGCATATTTCAATCCAACAACTTATCATCTTAATGACTTTCTTGGATTTAATGCGTGACTCTCCATCTTCCACACAAGATTGGCTACATGGGCATCGAAAAATGTAAATATTAATGAATCGCTTGTTTACAATGAATGACTAGTAACATTTTTAAATGGATGATAAGTAGAATCACTTATTCTTGATCTGTGTGCCAAGATAAAATATGACTATCAAAATTAGGGCATATTTAGATCCATTTGGAATAGCAAATGGCAAATGGCAAAAGTTTTGGTGGCAAAAGTTTTGGCATTGCAAAAGTACTAGTTGGTGTTTAGATGCATGTTAAAGTTTTGCTATTCTAGCACTAAAGTGAGAGAGAGTGGTCCTAAAGCACTTTTTGGCACAATTTGCTACTATGAACTAGCAAATGCCAAATACCAAATTGCCAACTTTTACTACTAGTGTTTAGATCCAAAATGACAAAAATTACTACAAAATGGTAAAACTTTTACCATTTTAGAGGATCTAAACAGGGCCTATGGAGTACTATCAAAGGTCAGGTTATCAACAATTTTGTTGTCATTGTTGACTCGAGAGAAGCAGAGGAAAAATGCTGCCGTATCGATGGTAATTTTTGCAGTCAACCTCGATTTCATCGATCATCGGATCGGGAAAAAGGAAAGAAGTAAAGACTGCTCCTTTTATTTTCGTTTGGAGTCATTCTTTCCAATTTCTAGGACCTCTGTGTAATTTGTTCATTTTAAGGGTCTTTCTATAAATTGTATCGTATGTCTATCTAATCTCATCGCTCTTTCTATGAGAAATGTGATTTTCGCTGATGTATGTTATAGGAGTACTATGTAATCTTTTATATTGGATAAATGCATGAGTTTAAAAGGAAAGAGAAGCAAGCAAAAAGAATGCTGCCGTACAGTACAGGTGCCACTGCCACGTGTGTCGGTGATCCGGACAAAATCAGTTGCAACAAAATGCCACGTGTACAACGATGCGTGGCACGTGTCACTGACGAGTGGGCCCAACCGCGGTGATAGCGTGACCCTAGTCCATCAACGCCTTTTTTTTATTAGTGCCTGGCTCAGCGATTAGGGCCATTCTGACACTTGTTTAAAATGTGCTAATTAACTCCTCGCTAATGACGTTTTTGGTAGTAAATCACGTCAAATTCTTGGACGGTTAGCGTACTTCGCATTCACGCGCCTCTCGTGTTGAATTTTTTTTCTTTTACAACCGAAACTGATGCAGTGACAGTAAACTGTGGAAGAAACGGAGTGTCAGTTTCACATCACATGTGGAGTGCTTAATTAGTTGTTTTATACTATGTACTACTCCCTCCGTTTTATAATATAAAACTTCTTAACATTACCCATACATACATATATACATATATATATATATGTTAATAAATATAGACACACTTATATATTTAGAGTAATTAATATATATATTAATGCGGGTAATGCTAAAAGTTTATATATTATGAAACAGAGGAAGTACTCAAATTATGCCATGTTGCTGTAATCTCACTTGATAGTTACTCGAAGTTTGGCCATATGCTTAGCTACTTTGAGCTGATCTTTATAATACTCAATGTACATTTGGCAACATTTAATTTGGTCTTCCAGAGTTGGTTCTGGATTAATGACCTTGCAGGTCACCAAAAGGCGCACTAATTTCCATCATGTCTAAAGTGATCAACTTGGAGATATGGCCATCATCAAGCCCCCACATATGATCCACGCAGAATAAAATTGTTCTACATACCAATAATTTTCATTCAGATTTAGTTCCATTTTGATTCTGATTTAGTGCGCCTAAGTTTGTTTACACAGCTAAATACGGAGACATGTCGACACTATATCTCAAATAACCGTTTCTTCATCACTGAAGTAGTGTGAAAAGATTGCGTTTTTAAAGATTGCAATTTTTTTCCTCTCCTGTTTTGTGCCCTTGATATTATGTCGTTTTCATCAGTAGTTTAGAGCAAGTTTAATAGTATATCCAACTATTGGCTTCAATTCATCTATAGCCAACCTAATAGCTCATTCATACAATATTTACATACTACACTATTAATACCTGGTCCTACTTGTTATACACACCCTGCGTCTTGAAGTCCGTATTACAGCTGGCTATAAATTTATAGCCCGCTGCTATTCTCTCTTCTTATTTATCTTATTAAAATATGTTTGCAGTTGGCTTATAGCCAGGTATTGTACCTGCTTTTAGAGCACCCATAATGGTAAAATAAGATGCTCTCTATAAAACATGTACATCTCAGCAATAGATTAGATTAATAGTAAACCACCTCAATAGTATGTCTACATGTGTATCTATAGCTCTCTAATCCATTGCCTCGTTTTTATCTATAGACTATCTCTAGGTTAGTATATAGCTTTGTTCTCTCTCTTCATTTAGTCTCTTCCAAGTAGGATAATATGCTGACATGGATATCTTATGGATATCTTATAGAGAGCCTATAAATAACCATTGCGGGCGCCCTTATCACGCTTCTAGCTTCATTTAAGCCGTCCAAAACCCTTAACTGCGATGGCGCACAACACAACAAATCATCTTTTCGAGGATTTTGCGAAGAATCGATACAAAAAAGCAACGTTGACGTGAGCGAGAAAATTCAGAAACTTTCAGAGGAAAAAAGAAGAAGAAAGGTTTCAACTTTCAAGAGGTAGTAGTAGTAGTAGTGCAGAGATATCTGAAGAAAAGTGCAGAGAAAAAAGAAGCAGCCGAGGTAATATAAAAGTTGGAGAGAAACAGGTGAAGCTGCAATATTTCGCCACATCTTCTTCTTCTTCTTCTCCATGCCGATCGCCTCCAAGCTCGTCTACTTCCAGCGCCGCCGCCCATCGCCGGCGCCGCCGGAGCCGGAGCCGGAGCCTCCCGACCCTCGCCGCAGGCCCTGCCGAGCCGGAGCCGGAGCCTCCGCCGCACGCCGCCGCAAGCCGGTGAGCTAGCTTTCTGCCGTTTCTTGGCTAAGGCTGCGAACTTATTATTATTATTTTATTATTTATTTTTACGGCTTCTCGAGTGAGGAGAAGTTTTCGGAGGAGGATTTCGTCTCCAGTGTTTAGTTGGATTTCAGCTTAGGAGTAGCTAGTGAGAATCATGGTGTGGTTCATGGTTTTGTGGCGTTGTGGCCAAGTGCTGGCGATTTGGGTGAGGTTCCAAAGAAAGTAAGAAACGATTTTAGAAGGGAGGGTTTAGATTGAGATTTGATTGCTGATTTGGAAGGGGAAATGGATGGTTTTAGAGATTTGCCTAGGAAGGAGACACCAGGGGAGTTCCAATCTGGTACTTGGATCAGCAATCAGCTTGTAAGAACTAAAGAAGTGGAGAATTTCATCTTTTGTTTTGTAGGGCTCACCCCAGTGAAGATTTGTGTTGGAAGCTTTGGTAGAGTGATTAGTTGTGGTCAGTTGAGATGAACTGAGGCGTGCATCAGTGAATCAGATCATCTGCACTTTCATATGCATGCCCTTGTCAGATCTATGGCAAGTTAGTAACCAAATGTTTGGCTCTCATAGAAAAAAAAGAGAAAATTCGATCCATAGCACAAGAAAAAAAGCGGTACCAAAAAATAGCACACAATTTTTTCGCTTTCGACGAGAAGCACAGGCCACCGTTTTTCCTTCGTACCATAGCACTTCCGTCGCATCCTGAGGTAACGGTGTTAGATCTGAGTGGAGAAAAATGTCATTGGACTCATTTGCCCTTCATCTCTTCTCCCTTATTCCCTATTTCCTCAGCTATTTCCCGTTCATTCTCTTTTGATGGTTCCTTTGCTGTGGAGCTTGGATACCAAGTGCGTCGTTGTCAACACGTTCGCAGCCTTGGAGGCCGCCTATTTGGACTTGAAGTGTCCTCCGGTGGGCTCAAGGTTGTTAGCCATGGCCTTCGTCCAGCGACCGTGGCGGACCGGCGGTGCTACCGACAGAGGTGGGTGCCTGGCTGGACGCCTTCGCCGATGGCGCCGTCGTGTACGTCAACTTAGCGACGCAGCAGTCACTGTCGCCGGCGCAGGTGGCGTGCGTGGCTGAGGCGCTGACGCGGAGCTCGGCGGCGCTCGTGTGGGCCGCGGACAGCGTCACCGCCGCAGCGCTGCCGAAAGGGTTCGAGGCGGCGACAATGGCGTGGGGACGGGCCTGGTCATCCGCGGGTGGGCGCCGCAGGTGGCGATCCCGCGCCACCGCGCCGTGGGGTGGTCCCTGATGCACTGCGGCACGAACACGATGCTGGAGGCGACGTCGGCGGGCGTCGCGATGCTCACGTGGCCCATGGTCGCCGACCACTTCGTGAACAAGATTTTGCTGGTGGAGGCCGGCGTGGCGATGCACCTGGCGGAGGGCGCGGACGCCGTGCCTGACTCTGGGCAGATGGCGAAGGCGATCGCCGCCGTGGTCGGCGACAAGGGGAAGCCCTTCAGGGAGCGTGCAGTGGCGCTTGCCCGCATGGCTGCAGCGGCGGTAGCAGAGGGTGGGACTTCGTATAGGGACTTGGAAAGAGGGAGGAAATGGGGAATAAGGGAGAAGAGACGAAGGGCAAATGAGTCCAACGATATTTTTCTCCACTTCGATCTAACGCCGTTACCTCATAATGTGACGGAAGTGCTACGGGTCGAAGGAAAAACGGTGGCCTGTGCTTCTCGCCGAAAGCGAAAAATTTATGTGCTATTTTTTGGTACCGCTTTCTCTTCTGTGCTATAGATCGAATTTTCTCAAAAAAAAAAATGTCAAGTCTGGTTCTCGCAAAATCTAAGTTATGTGTTAGTAAATTTGGTCGTTGATGAGATCTATGATTATGAGTGTAAATGATGGGTTCGGTGATCTTTTGTTCTTCAAGAAACATTAATGTGTTTGCTGGTGTTCTGGGGAATTCATCAGCTGGTACAGTGGTACTAGTAGAAAGTTTGACAATCCTTTTCAAACTAGGTAGAGTACATCTGTACATGTGCTGTAACTCGTGAAGGGTATTTACTACAACCATGATAAGAAGGTACTCGTGGAATACTAGTAGCATATACCGAAATCTTTTTCTGAGAGGTTCAACTAATTTCAATGTAGATTTATGGTTAAATGACAAAGACAGTTCTTTGGTTGGTATCTCAAATTTAGTAGCCCAATTAAGCCTGTAGTACTTTACATTCATACTAGTACTAATTAGATGTTAATTGCTGGTAAACTGCTATTTCAAAACCTTTTATGGAAATTCCCATTGTTTAGTAGCAATCGTTTCTGACTAACTAATGCTTGTCTTCGCGCCAAAATTATGGACTAGATTTCCCATTACTAAACATATACAGTCAGAACATAGTTCTAGTGTTTTAGCAGGTTAAGTATCAGCCCTCGTAGTAGCCTGCTGAACCAGTGTTCTAGTTTTGTGGTGTGCAGACAACTGTGAAGTGTGCTCATGCACCAAATAATCATATGGACACTATCTCTTTTTACTGAACACTATTGCTTTCATGTGCCCCTTGCTTATCTGCACTCTTTCTTAGTATGCAACAATATCATTTTCACGGCAGAAATAAGTATGGTTTTCCATGTTTCTTCATGTATTGATGATTGTTGTGAAATCTTCTTCAGCAATTATCCACTGTTTCTAACATTTGTCATTGATGAAACTAGGGTCAGGAACATGTTCCAGGAAGCAAAAGAGATACCTCAAAGGGTGTCGCATCTGCTGGAAACATAACAGGACAAGCAGGCAGCACGGGCTCCAGCTCAAGGCTAAACCGCAGCGTATCAGATCATGGCCGGCTTCCTGATTCCGTTCAGCAGGCTAGGGAACGGCTACTTCAGAGGCTTAACAGCGTGGACTTATCAGGAAGAAGGTCCGCATCAACTTTTTCGCACTCCCTCCTCCAGCTTAGAACTTAAGCTACAGAGAATCTACATTTACAAATTCCATCCCATTGTTGCAGGCAAAATACATCGTTGTCATCAGAAACCATTCATGGTGGAGTAGCCCCGGGCGTCTCCACCACCGCAGATAGCATATTCAGCAGTCTAACCAGTTGCTTCCACACTGACGTATCGATCGCTCCCTGCAAACTCCAAGAGAGCACAGCTGAAACCTTCAACACCGCAGATAAGCATACGTTCATCGCGCATTGTTCTGAACCGGCTCCTACACAAGAAGTAGCAAGCTGCAGAGTAACAGATGATGACGAACTCGCGGGACCTTCAACGGAGTGCTCTATATGCCTGGAGAGATGTGGGGATGCAGATGGGCTCCTCGAGCTGCGGTGCAAGCACATCTTCCACTCGGCCTGCCTCGAGCGATGGCTGCGCTCTCGCAGCGACTGCCCCTACTGCAGGGCCAGCGTGCTCCTAACAGCAGAAGGATGAGAATTTGAGGATGAAACTAAACCCAGCTCTGTAGAACCTCTCTTTAAGCCCTTAACTTTGTCACTGCTCACATGCTCTTCTTCCAGTACCAAGTTTTTTCCCCCCTTTGCTGATGAGGCTGTGAAATCTGTGATACTTTTGTCACTGTGTGAGGCTTCAGAAAGTTAGCATCTTACTGTACCATGAATGTGTCTTGAACCTGACTGGGTTGTTTGCAACTGGATCATGCTCTCTCCATGCATATAGAGTGAGAGCTGAGCTGCTACCTGTTTTTCCATGGAAGCTTTTGTTTGCTCTTCCATGTTGTGCAATCTGAAAGTGAGTGATTGCTTTTGCTCTCGTCTTGCTGATGCCAATCCAGCTGAGCATTGCAGTTTGTTATGTGTCGCGTTCATTCGTTTTTGTTCCTTCTGCAAGTATGTTGTTCGTCATCTGGAAAATTGGAATTCAGACTTCAGACTTTCAGAGGCAGAATCGATACTTGACGAAATTCAGTGAGCAAAGATCTCTGTCCTGATCACACAAGTCACATTCTCAACGAACTTTCTATATAACCTATTCGACATCTCTATCACCCGTACTTGTCTCCAGATTCTGTAGATAAGTATAAATACGTACATACAAGACCAGATTCCGTAGATAAGTATAAATACATAGTACATACAAGACAGTATTCACGTAGAATACAGAAAAATATATATAATGCAAACCTTAGTGTAAACATGAAAACTACTGTACAATAATAAAAAAAATGAATGTCTAACATTTATCCACGTCATTCTTAGTACATGAACATATCCTATGCACACAATTTTTCCGTGCACACCTTGTACACACCAACTAGCAAATATCGTAGAAAATAAAAAAAAATTGGACACATACAGTTAAACGTTTCATATATTCTAAAAACTTCCCCCTAAGCACCCTTCTGTCTCATATTATATGATTTTTTTTTCAAGTTAAACGTTTGACTAAGTTTATAGAAAAAAATATATAATAACCCTTTCGACATAAAACAAATATATTTTGAAAATAGATTAAATATTAATTGTTAATGAAACTAATTTAATATTATAGATATTGCTAATATTTTTATAAATTGGATCAAATTTAAGTAAATTTGACTAAAAAAGTCAAAATAGCTTATAACATAAAGGTAGTAAAACTTTTACTTTTGGGTGTGTTTAGTTCACGCTAAAATTGGAAGTTTGATTGAAATTGGAATGATATGACGGAAAAGTTGAAAGTTTATTTGTATAAAACTTTTACTCATGGTCAAATCCGAAAGTAAAAAAAAATTCACTCAGAATGGCATGGCTAAATCTTATATATCTACTCCCTCCATTCCAAATTGATCTACATATAGTTTTTTTTTGAGGTTATTTCTAAATGATCTACATATTTGTGTTCATTCATTAGGTCTATTCGTTATTTTTGCATTGGAGTAAATGGATATTGATACATGCATACAAGCATTTATAACCCACATGCAATATCTTGATTTGCTATTGGCTAGAAAATAGTGGGGATGGTGCATGTATTGAGTTTGTTGCTAGAGTAAATATAGTATGAGAGAGTATATCTATGAAATATGTAGATCAATTTGAAATAGAGGAAATATTTTTTAATATTTTCTCGGGCGTAGCCGCGTAGTAGAGAGCTGGGTACGTGTAGTACACTGTACTTGCTGGCTAGCTTGACCGGCGGTCGCCGCCAACCCGACCGCCACGGCGACTCGTCTCCCCACTCCACGTGGGCCCCACCACCGCATGGCCGGTGCGTTGACCTGTCAGTCTCCCAGGGCCCCACCATCCACACTGTCGTCGCGATACGACAACGTGGGCCGTCCACGTGTCCCATCGAGAGCCAATCGGACGGTCAATCGTCGTCTCAAGCCTCTTAATTGGGCGCCTTTTCATTAAAAAAACAGAAAAAAACGGGGAAAAAAAAAGCGAAGCTTTCGAGCTCCTAACAATAGGAGCAAAAGAGACAGCAACGACAGCGCAGTTTTGGTGCGAATTTCGGAGGAAATTCGGTGGGAATTTTCGGGAGGTGGAGGAAGAGAGGGAACGCGGCGATCTTTGCGGCGACGACGATGCTGCTGCGGTGGCTGGCGCGGCCGGCGGAGAGGTGCCTGGGGCGAGGCGGCGGCGGCGGCGGAGGGGGAGGAGGGGATGGGTTGCTGTGGCACGCGGAGCTGAAGCCGCACGCGAGCGGGGAGTACTCCATCGCGGTGGCGCAGGCGAACGCGGAGCTGGAGGACCAGGGGCAGGTGGTGACCTCGCCGGCGGCGACCTTCGTCGGCGTCTACGACGGCCACGGTGGCCCCGAGGCGTCCCGCTTCATCTCCTCCCGCCTCTTCCCCCACCTCCACAGTTTAGTGCCTCGATAACGAGATTATTTTCGCTTGTTAGCGTGTGGATTTGATCTAGAATAGAACCAATCAGTTCGTAATAATGTCTTGGTAGGTTTAAGATTTTTCATTTCTGACAAAAAAAACAATGCGTTCTTTTTGTTTGGCGTAATATTTATTTTTTCTTTCCTTATATGAGTTTGCTTAACTTGACCGTTCAGTTTTCTGCGTCTTTTTAGTCAGGTTTAGCGTAGAATTCGGTGGATTTGTTGATTACTTAATTAATGTAGTTTATACTCCTCTTTGTGTAGTTGCAATTTAATAACCTGTTTGTCGAAATAACAATCCTTTGTTTTGTCCAGTTCTATTGATACCTGGATAGTGTTCTATTGTGATGATTATATATTTTTGCTTGATATACCACTTGCTCATTTAGAACTTTGCATATGCTTTATCTTTTGATAGCTCCAGCTGGTACTTGGTAGACTCTAGATTGTGTTGTCTATTATTGATGAGATGAATTTTGTGGTTTACTACTTATTCTGACCAAAGATGTCATCATAATTCAATCAAGTTATGTGCTCACCATTAACTTAAGATGTACTAACGATGCCATGCTCTGAATTAATTGGATCAGGGTTTGCATCTGAGCAAGGTGGCATGTCCACCGATGCAATCAAGAGGGCATTCCATGCCACGGAGGAGGAGTTCTTGCACATGGTCAAGCGATCCTGGCTCAAGCAGCCACAGATTGCCTCGGTTGGTTCATGCTGCCTCGTCGGAGCAATCACCGATAACGTTCTATATGTCGCCAATTTAGGGGACTCGAGGGCCGTCCTTGGCCGTAGGGGGCCTGATGGTCGGGAGGTAGTGGCTGAGAGACTATCCAATGACCACAATGTTGCAGAGGAGGAGGTCAGAAAGGAGCTCACTGAGCAGCATCCTGATGATTCACGTATAGTCATCTATACCCGAGGAGTTTGGAGGATTAAGGGCATCATTCAGGTATGTACCGTTCAACCCTGTTAGTCGGTATATTTGTCGTATGTGGCATACTATTTGGAGTCATGTGTAGCACCGCCAAGTGATCTGGATTGTACTATTAAGCTTCATGCAGAAGCTAAGGCGCAACAAACATGTTGCAGGTTTCTGACGTTAAGTTTCAGAAACATAGTAATTCAAATTTACCTCCTGTTATTTCAGATGATTATGAACAAGCAAAACATAAGTGAGACCAGATAGTAGTTTTAAGGGAATATAATGAAATTTGATTTAGCTGTTTATCATCGCAACTCATAATGGCTGCTTTTAAATACACCCTGAAATTGATGGGCAATCCAAAGTTCTAGCAAAGTTACATATTTATGTCCTTGCATCTCATTTGCTGGCTTTATACCGTGATGTGCAGAATTTGTTACTCGGATAAAGGCAATATTCCTCTTTCCTAGATAAAATTCGGACATCACTTTCATTTCATGTTCAATGTACATTGATGCATCTGTTCTCGAAATCGTGACTTAGGTTCTAATATTCTTTTGTAAAGCACTTCTTGCATCCGATAAAAACATAGGAATATATCCTGTTCTAAAAAGCCAGTAAGTAGGATTGCTTGTGCAGTGTGGCTAACCCTTATGCTAAGCCATGCTCGTGTAAAGTTTCTCCTTTTTGTATTTTCTTAAGCCTCACGGTAATCGATCTTGCGGAATATTAGATTACATAAAAAGAATGACACTGGCTACTTGCATCCATAATCATCAGTATGCTTTACCACGTTTCCCAAAACTTTCAACAGTTACACTCACTATCTGCTTTCTTGCATCTGAGATGTGAGATGCTGTTTAACATATGGACACTGTTTGTTTCATTCTCAGGTTTCCAGATCAATTGGAGATGTATACCTGAAGAAGCCTGAATTTGCTAGAGACCCTATATTCCGGCAATATGTTTGTTCCATTCCATTGAAGCGACCTGTCATGACGGCTGAACCATCGATCAAAGAACATCAGTTGAGGCAGCAAGACTTATTCTTGATATTTGCATCGGATGGTCTGTGGGAGCAGCTAACTGATAAAGCAGCGGTTGATATCGTCTTCAAGAATCCCAGAGCAGTAAGCTATGGTTTACTCCAATCTCACGACTAACTGTATATACAAAATCTGATGCATTTGTGTGAACTTGTGTTTGATAGGGGATAGCGAAGCGATTGGTGCGAGCAGCGCTGACTGAAGCGGCGAGGAAACGAGAGATGAGATACACTGATATCAAACATATAGAGAGAGGCAGCAGGCGGAATTTCCACGACGATATCACAGTCGTTGTGGTCTATCTTGACCATCACAAGCATGGTGTGCGGCCTAATTTGGGTAACAGAAACAGTTTCCGGTTCACCAATGCGCCGGTTGACATCTTCTCCGGCAGCTCAGAAGAGGTGGATCACCACCCTCTCAGGCTGAATCTTGCAATGGATGGTGCTGTGGGTTAGGTTTGTGTTTTTGCATAAAAAACCAAATATAGTCAAAAGAAAAGTGACAAAAAGGGTGAATTCTCTTTTCTGTCACATAGATTGAGCCAAACACAACTTTCACCAAGATATCAAAATATGGGATGCATTTAGAGGTTTGAGGTTTTGCTTTTCATTTTTTACATAGTGGGTTTGTATAAAGTTGTCCTAGACTCCAAACGAATGTCTCTTCTCCAAGCAAGTTGATGTTTCTGGAGAAAGAGTCTCATTCCTTTTGGAGATTATTGTGGCCTTGTGGGGGATCAATCATCAAAGACTGATCCTCAAAACAGAAAAAGGAAAATCTAAAGATTGTTCCTAAATCCTCATGGATCCTTTGCATATCTAACAAGCTAAGGATTGTTTTTTCTTTGATCCTGAAGATGTGTAGAACACTGTGAATGGATTCAAGATTCCAAAAATATATAAATACAACCTGAGATTGCTTGGCTTTTGTGTGTGTGCAGTACAGCAGTAGCAGTAGCATGGGGCTTGTCAGTTGTCACCAAAAGAAGCGCTTTTCCAGCCTTTGTGACTTTCTCTTTTATCAGGCTTGGTGTTTTCTTCTTGTTTCACTGCTTGCTAGGCAGCTACTCCTGCTATAATGCTAGAGTAGACAGGAGAGCACTGCCGATATTGTAATCTTCTGTGAAGTTCGAAGACCCAACGGTTGTATCTACTAGACATGATCAGACAAGAGCAACATTATTTTCTGAAGATCATCAGTACTCAGGTTCTCATGTTCCATGTAAACATATGCATATACATCTAGCTCAAAATATTGGAATAACAGGTTTATCATAATGTTTCCAGTTTCCATATAATAGGACAGGTCAGTGGTCACCACTAACTACAATCAGGAGCCAAGCAGAGTGTGATTGTGACTTGGGGGTGTCATTATCTGGTTCCAGTATTGTCAGCATCCTAGAGATCCTTATGCATTTGTCCATGTAGAAATTCCTTCCAAACATTCCAACAAGAACTCTCACAAGGCATTGCATATATCATGTGTGTAGTAGTTTTCAACTTTTCATGGTCCAGTCCTCCACAGATGCTACAGCAGCAACATCTATAGCTTACTCCTACTGCAAGAAAACAAAATTGCCAACTGTAATCAATCACATTAACACCCCTCTTCTTCCACTGTTGCAGAGGACAAAAGAAATTAAATACCCCTGTCTGCAAGTGCAAATCCAGAGGCTGTTTTGGTAACACCACTACTCCCTACTGTACTCTCACTTGTTCTTCATTGAACAAAGCTACTGTAATTTCACCTAATCCTTGCCTAAATAAAAGTCTTGGGCAGTGTTCACTCCATTTTACAGTATCAAAAATGAGAAGCAAAGGAGAGCAGCATCCCTGAACACTCACATGGAGGAGTCAACCAGAGGTCACCGACAATTACTGTTAGTTCGAGCGGGCCCCACTTGTCAGTGACAACCCCTCATGAAAAGAAGGTTTACAGCAATTGCAGCAGAATGTGGATCATTGATAAGCAATAGTGGTACTACTAATCATCATCATATGGATAGGTAAACAATGTGCTGCAGATCAATGCAGGTAATACTCCAAAACACAATACTACTGTAGCAAGTATTAATACTACTAGCATACAAGCTCAGGCAAAAGTAGCCGCAGCAGTTGCACTAATAATACTGACACTATCAAAGCGTCTCTCTCAAACTCTACACCTCTCTCTCTCTCTCTCTACAGAAGCAATGATCGGTAGTGACACTGTGACAGTAACAGCGGCAGTGGCTCTCTGACAGGTGGCCCCCACCGGCTCAGACGAAGGCCGGGCCCACCGTCAGCCACAGCAGCAGCATCAGCAGCAGGGCCGCGCCTCCTCCCACCGCGCTGTACCCTCGCGCCGCGTCGCTCTGCACAAATGGGGGCCCACGTTTCAGTCAGAGAGAGCGCAAGCAATTATTATTATTACTGTAATAAATCAGTCTCATAATAATACTGCATGCAATAAATCAGCCGCGTAAAATAAAAAAGTACAGTACGTCCCTACATTACAAAATATACTAAAACCTAAAAAAACATAATTATTGATCACACTAATAAATACTTCTCCAACTAAAAATATAATAATTTTCGAGTGAACGGCCATATCACCGAAAATTGTTATGTTTTGGGAGGAGTATAGTATAATGCACGTATCTAATAGAATTAAATATCTTGAGTAGATGATTCAATAAATAATACTTTAATAGAGAAAGCAAGCATTAAAAAAATGACTTATATTTTATTATATTTTGGAATGAATAGTATAAATGAACCAGAGAAAAAACTACGTATTTGGCCTCTGGGTGGGCTCCACGTGTCATCGTAATGGCGAGTGTATGGTGGGCCCACGAACCATCGAGAGGGTGGGTGCGTGTTCCGCGGGCTCAGGTGGGCCCGGGCCCCCGTCTCTTTTGACCGGAAGCGCTGACACGTGGGACCCACCCCCACCCCCGCCGCGCTTTGATGTTCGTGCGGACGCGAGGTGCTCGCCATCAAATCCGGCCTACCGCTCCGGGGTTTGGAATCCGACGGCCCAGATCGACTCGCGGTATCAAACCGACGGTCCAGATTGGCTCGTAGCAGAGCCGTACGTAGAGGGAGAGTGGAGTGGAGGATACGTACCGACATATCGGCGGCGGAGGGGCCGGGGCCGGGGGCGAAGGCGGCGGTGGTCGCCGGCGAGGCGGCGGCGAGGGGGGAGCCTGCCGGGGAGATGCGCTTCTTCTTCGGCTTCTTGGTCGCCGGCGCGGGCGCCGGGACGTCGTCGGACGGCGCGGGCGCCGCGGCGATGACGGGAGCCGGCGCGAGGGGCGCCGGTGTCGGCGGCGGCGACGACGACAATGCCGGCGCCGGGGCGAGCGCTACCGGCGGCGCGGCCACCGGCGGGGGCAATGTGGGCGGCGGCGCGCCGAGCACCGGGGCCGGCGCCGGGGGAGACGGCGACACCGTCGTCGGCGCCGGCGCGGCGGCGGGAGGCGGCAATGCGGGCGACGGGGAGGTGGCCGCGGCGGGCGGAGGCGACGTCGTCGGCGCCGGGGAGGTCGCCGGGGAGGTGAGCTTGTTGCCGGAGTGGGACGGGGACGCGGCGGGGGAGGTGGAGATGTGGCGGTGGCGGTTCTTGGAAGAAGACGAAGGTGCGGAGGCGGCCGGTGAGTGCGCCGCGCCGGAGCTGGGCGCGCCGGCCGGAGACGACTGGGAGGTCACCGCGGAGGCGGCGGCGAGGAGGAGCACCGGGAGGAGGAGGTGGCGAGCCGCCATTGGCAATGGCAGTGAGATTTCAGTGTGGAGGAGTGAAGGAGGAGAGAGCAAAGCTGAGCTGAAGTGAAGAAGTGAAGGAGAGCAATAAAAACACTGGCTAGTGAGTGGTGGAGAACTGAGAGAGAAGAAGCACACTGACCAGTGGGGCCCACTGGCAGCAGCAGCTAGCCTCTGTGTCAGCCACTCGCTGGCTCACTGTGTGTGGGCCACACCAAGGCTGAGTCTCTCACTTCCTTTTTTTTTTTTCCTTACAGTGGCTTTGCAGTTCATTGTCTGGTGAAATTAATTTTTTCTTCTGCTAGAAAAGAATGCAGGTGGCCAGGAGAGAAGGGAGATTTTATTCAGGGTTTATATTTTCGACGAAAGCCCATTCAGAACTGCGAATTTTTTTACTGTAGATGTGAGACTAATTTTTTACAGGAGAGTAGATTCTAAGTGAAATTTCAAATGGTTTTTGAGAATTCGAATTTGAAACAGTAAGCTTTGATAAAAAGATTAGCGAAAAATGTTATACACTTACACCACTGGGTACGAAATCTAGCACTCGATCAAAAAAGGTGAAATCTAGATTGTTTAGCACTAGATTGAGATGATGCTATTAACGGCTTGCTTTGGCTTTAACCTTTTTTTCCTTTAGTTACTTTGTTCTTGTTTAAGTTGATGGTAACACTTAAGTGCCGAGGAGGCAAGGAATGTTGGAGGTGAGGTGAAGTCGGTGAAAAGGGGAATTTTTTTTTATTTATAATTTTTTTTATTAAAAGTTTTACAAAAATAATTTTCCATTTTGAAAATTGACGGAAGTAGTCGCCTACCGCCCTCTGGGAAAATCGCCCTCTCAGAGGGCGGCGAAAATGACGTGGCAGACGGCCGTTCACTCTCGGGCGACGGCCGTCAACGAAATTTGCAGGCGGCCCCCTTGCCGCCCTCCGCTAGGGCGATTTTATACTGTGCGGGGGGCCGCCTGCAAATGGGCGGCGAGGGGGGCATGGAATTTTGCAGGCGGCCCCCTTGCCGCCCTCCGCTAGGGCGATTTTGTACTGTGGGGGGGGGCGCTTGCAAATGGGCGGCGAGGGGGCATGGAATTTTGCAGGCGGCCCCCTTGCCGCCCTGGGGGAGGGCGATTTTTGCCTCCCCCCTATAAAGCCCAGTCCCTCCTCTGTGAAATTTCATTATATTCACTAAAAATCCAAAAAAAACGAAAGAGAGAGAGGGGAGGGCAGCAGAAGGGGAGCGGCGAAGCCCTGCTGGTTCGCTCAATTCATCACAGGTATGCTCCCATACATCTTTTGCATTTGTACTAATATGTTATGTTTGAGTATATATGTTGCGTTTTAGTTTTAGTTCCATATATTTTAGCACATCTGTAGCACACAGCACATATGTGTAGATCCAGAGCATAGAATATAATAGTATGAATTGAGACATAGACAGTAGTGTTAATTGTAAGATGTAGTTTAGTTTGATCTGGAGAATGTAACGTAATTTTAGAAATTTAGAGAACAATATTGTAGAGAATGTAACTTAGGGCGTAGTACAGAAATGCGAGGTTAACGCAGTTATTGTTTTCATCAGGCACAATGTCAAGTAAGGTCACATTTCAGATAGTTCACGGTGAAGGAAATATTAGATTTGGTCCAGATGGTGTTGATCTGTCAGATTTTGTAATGACATCTAAGGGCATCGATAGGCCTGCGGAGAGAACATTTCAGTCAATTTATAGTTGGTTGTTGAGAGGATTTAGAATAGACCAAGAAGTCTACACAATGTCAGTGTCAGTTGTAGTGAGTCGTGCAACAGAAGGTTATTTTTGGGAACTAATGCCGATGGACAGCACTGATGCTTGGAGACGGTATGTGGAAATGGCTTTTGAACGGTCATGGCCCCTCGTTATATTTGTGTCGGTACAAGAGAAAGATATAAATGTTTCAATGCAAACCGAAGATGTAGAGGGTCCTATCAATGCAGGGGATGTTGTTGGACCATCGATGCAAAATGAGGAAAATCAACCAAGGGAGGAGCAGGCTATGGGCATGGCGGATGAGGGGGAGAGAGTCGGTATAATTGTTGATGAAATGGAGAGGGAAGATTCGGATAATGAGGAAGCGGACAACGACGCATCATCCGATGAGGAAGGTGATGTAATGGCCACTGATTGGGCAAATGAGGACTTCTCTGGACTTGTTATATCAGAGGGTGATCATGTACCCTGGGAGTATAAGGAGAACGAGGTAATTGAGGGTGTGTCACGCCCAGAAATTCCCGAATAGAATTCCAAGCAGAATGTGCATTAAAATCCCCGTCCAGGACCAGCCGGGGTACACAAACGACAATGTTGACATACAAATCCACGTCTTACAAACATCATAAAGTCTTACATAAATGCAGCGGAAGAAAAGAAAGACAACAGGAGCTAAGCCTTGACTAAACTTTGACTAAACTGCAGCGGGAACACCACTCCACAGGCATCCTCGACGGCACGGACGAAGCCTACTCCTCAGAGAAACCTTCATCTGACCCGAACTCGAACTCTGGGGTTGGGAAAAGTAGAGCAAGACTGAGTACTACCCACTGTACTCAGCAAGTCATACCGGAATAGGGGTATGATGCAGGGAAATCATCAAAGAAGAGCTGAAGTGGTTCATTTGCATAAAGCGAGCATTTATAAACAGAGATTGAAAGATTTAAACAGTTGTAACAATTAATTAATATTAACTATCCACTGTCCAACGCTAACCCACGTTGCGACAGGCCCAACCATCCACCTAAACTATCCAAATTAAAGGATTACACTAAGGTGAAACTAATCACGGTGAATCTGGTTGACCGCCCATAACCGCGGGTACGGCTATTCGAATAGTTTTACTCTGATCAGAGGTGTACAACTGTACCCACAAGACACAGCCCCACGACACGTTTCCGTGCGCCGACATGTCACCACGACATACCGGAAAGAGGCCGTGACAGGACCATTCGCATAACCCCCTCTAACCAAGCACACCACACCTCAGGTTTCACCCCCACTCCTCGCAAGGCAGCGGGCAGTCCCCTCTCGTGCCTAGGTGAATCCGGAAGCCGCATAGGCCGTCGCAGGGCCCATCCAAACTCCATCACGCCCACCCTTGCCTGGATGCGTCGGCTAGAGGAAAGCTACACTACAAGCCCAGCCGTTGCCCACGCTGGCTTGTGGTAAGTACGATAAGTTCTTCCAGGGCATCCCACGAACCGGTCCTTAACTGCCATGGGTGCGACCAGCAAAACCATGCACCCACAGCCCACCATGTGATTCATTTTAATTAACCAACACCAGAGCGGTGGTACTAATCCAACATTATCATTAGAACCAACAGTCTAAACATTAATATGATTTTCCCCATTGTGAACTAGTTGAACTAAGCATGGCTAAGCAATTCCTAGTCCAAACTCTAATCATGTTATAACCCCAAGCTAACAAAGGAGCATGATATCCAAAAACATGGCTGTAACAATAGGTAACCATCCCATAGTAATATTATAAAACAATGCAATATTTGAAAGAAAACAATAGAGCATTTGCACTATAGGATCAACATGTTCAAGTGACAAGCATGACTTGCCTTGCTCTGCTGCTGGAGGAACCTCGGCGACTATCTCAAAGTACACCGGAGCGTCGGAGGAATCGGAATCTAGCGACATACAAAGCAAACATTGCAAACAGGCTATAAGACTACTGAAACAGGGAACAAAACCATTTTTAATGTATTCTACACATTTTTCTTGATTTACTGAGACTTGAATGGGCTTAAACGGAGCTCGGATGAATTAGTTATGAATTTTAGAAGATTCACTGTGTTTATTACTATAAAAGAAAAACCTTAAATCATTTATTGCGCAATATATTCCAGGGCTGACGTCAGCACGGAGGGGGGGGGGGGTGCGGCGCCGACAAGAGGGGCCCGCATGTCAGCGGCGCACGGGTGGCCGGTCTACCGTGGACCGGGACCACGCGGGTGATCCACCGCCGGTCCACGGGATCGACGGCCCGGATCGGCCCGGGGCCGATCGGACGGTGCGGCGGCGGCCAGGCTAGGCTCGGCTCGGCACAAAACCGGCCGACCGGTCACGGCGACGGCGCGCGCACGCGCACGCGCGTTGCCGACGACGGCAACCGCCGGCGGAGACGGCGGCGCCGAAGGGCGGTGATGCTAAAGCGACGACTAACGGGCGACGGCGCTAAAGCGGCGGCTAGGAGGGAGAGGGAGGGGATAAGTGGGGAGGGAGTGCCTCACCGAGGGTGGCTGGCGCGGAGGAAGACGATGGCGAACGGCGACGGCAAGCCACGGGAGGACGACGTCGGCGGGCGGACGAGCTTCGGGGTGCCCTAAGGAAGGAGAAGAGAGGGATTAGAGAGAGGGAGATGGACCACGGCGACCGGAAACCATGGCCGAAGGCGGCGGTGGAGGTGGTGCTCACCCGAATGCGAGGGAACGAGGGCTCCGGCGACGAACCTCGACGGAGGAGGGGTGGACGGGGTGGATCTCGGCCACGCGAACCCGACGGCGGCGACGGCGCGGCCTGGCGGCGACCCTAACGGCGGCTAGCGGCGGCCGGAGTAGCGGAAAAGGCGGCGGCAAGGGGTTGCACGGCGCGGGAGCGATGGGAGGCTCGAGAGAGTGCGGCGAAATGGGGAAAAAGTGAGAGGGGACGACGGCGATGCTTAAATAGGGGGAGAGGGAACCGGACGTGGCCGGGAGAGGCGGGAATCGCCGGCCGACGTGGGGAGTGGGGGAGGAGAGAGAGGCGGGATTCGAAAATCGAATCCCGGCCATCTCGGGCGCGGGCGCGAGCAGGAGAGGGAGAGGAGTGGGCGCGGGAGACGCGGCGCACGCGCGGGCGTGGTCGACGTGGCCCGGAGGAGGCGGAGACGAGGGCGCGGCGGCGCGGGCGAGATCGGCGGGAGGTGGGGGAAGGACCCGACAGGTGGGCCCCACCTGTCGGCGACCCCGAGAGAGGAGGCGGCGGGGCGGCCTGGCTGGGCCTCGGCCTGCGGCCGGCCCAGCAAGGAGGAGGGGAGGAAGGAGGGAATGGGCCGGCGGCCCATTCGAAAAAAAGGAGGAAAAAGAGAGGA